AATAATAAAAATAAAACATAATAAAATAATTCTCACGACGTTTCGGCCACAACGCAAGCAGCCGTCCTCAGGTGAAGAACAGGTATGTCGGAAAGACAGGGTCATTCAGACGCTGTCTTTCCGACAGACGCTGTCTTTCCGACAGACCTGTTCTTCACCTGAGGACGGCTGCTTGAGTTGTGGCCGAAACGTCGTGAGAATTATTTCATCATGTTTTATTTTTATTATTTTATTATTTCCCTTCTACGTGACTTTACCGAAAGAACCAAGAAGAAGGATATAATAATTTAGGAAAGGAGATGATGGGAGTGAATTCCAAACTCCAGCAGAGCGTGGAAGGAAACAGACAGAGGAGTGTTTTGACCTGCATTGTGGCGGTTACATACAGCATGGGTGGAGGAATCAGTGCGTGAAGTTCATGGGAACAGGAACCTTGGTAGCGATAAAACAGTGATAAGGAGGTGACCGACTGCCTGTACACGAGTTACTGGAGTGATCTGGTGAGCGTTCAATCATCAATCAACCTCACCGCTTATGTCGAATTCTACCAAGGGCAGCGATGTAGGCGATGGACACTCCATCCCAGACAACATCGGTATTTCAACGTCGGCCCAATGTGTGCTCTGTATAAGCGGTAATAATTGTGCAGCGTTAAAGAAGGCTTGAATAAATAAATAACCAATGCAACCTCTCCATGTGGTTGAGGTCTTGAGGCAGCTTATAGCCTGGCCTGTTGTCACCCCAGTGCGCCTTGAGATCTCTGCACGATACCACACGTGAGCAATAGCTCGAAGCACCAACACCACCCGCCATGGATGAATTTCACCCCCGATGGCCAGACACCTAGTGCGACATTGTAAGTCACTGGCCTTTAGGTTTCACAATTGCCCTAGCGTTGCTCTCTTGTGTAATCTCTAACCCACACCTGGAGTTCGTGTGTGTGGTCATTAATTGCATGGGCAACACTGAGCAAGAATCCATAATACTGTGCACATGGTGATCCATGTATATATATAAAAACGACATAAATAACCAGTCTTCTTCACATATCCGTGTCCAAAAAAATATATTTCTTACACAATTCATCAACCGCACGGACTTCTGTGAGTGCATACTTTCAGCAGCATTGTTTCAAGACAAGCAAACTATGGACTGTTTTCAGCACACAGTGCCACATCAGCAGAGTTAGGTTTTGCTTGATTCAATGATGGTGAAATGCCGCGCTTACAGGCAGACAAGAGCCCTCCCCGTTTACACAATGGGGTCATATCATGGGACTACCTTTGCCAGTACCAAAATATGAAAACAGGTTTTCCCGTTTTTTTCTGGCAACAAAACAGGTGTTAAGATGTTAAAACACCAAACTGAAACCTTTAACAAGGAATCATGTCTGCATTAACCACAATACTTGTGGTCAGAATGCAAAAAAAAACATACTCTGATAATATATGCATTGTCTCTGAAACTGATTGGTCCACACCAGAGACAGCTTTCTTTTGAGCCTAGTCTCAAACAGTGTTAGACCAGAGGACGCCAAAAGGCGTACAGCCCAAAGACAATGCACTATCAGAGTAATGAGAGCTCGGTGTTAGACCAGAGGACGTCTTCTAGTCTAACACCGTTTTGAGACTAGGCTCAAAAGAAAGCTGTCTCTGGTGTGGACCAATCAGTTTCAAAGACATTGCATATATTATCAGAGTATGTTTTTGTTTGCATTCTGACCACAAGTATTGTGGTTTATGCAGACATGATTCCTTGTAAAAAGTTTCAGTTTGGTGTTTTAACATCATAACACCTGTTTTGTTGCCAGAAAAAAGGGGAAAACCTATTCTCAATGGGGTAATAGTTCAATGCAAAATTGCATAATACATAACTCACGTGTATGAATACGGTACACCACTAAAATAATAGGGAAAATGTATAGGCAAAATTCAGGTTATGTAAATAAAATCTGCACATTGTTGAAGTAAGGCTGTTATTTGGCCCAATATTATACCACTTCAGACGTTGCTACACTGAACTCATTTTTTTATAGTCATGAGTAAATTGAGGCAGTTTGTAAACAGCTACATGTTGTAGGCTATTCTAAAGGCAACGATATTAGCCAAACTAAAAGACAACTGGCTACGAATGAAACCAATTGGAAACACACTACTAGATATTGTTTTTTGAACAAAACAGGGTTTAGAAAAAAAAAACTTCGCTGTAATTCTATATCTCGAGCAATCAAAACATGAAGATCGTTTTTTTATGTTATCAACATTTTGTCAAAATCAGTTGAGTGACTTTTTTTCCACGTCGTGCAAAAACAAAGGTAGCCTAAACAAACTGTAGGGGAAAGTGCTGTTAGCGAGTAACACCTATGAATGATGGCATCGGACACGAGGGGGTGGGTGGGCCAGCACCACACCCCCAAGTGGCGATATTTACACATCGCACCAGGTACTAATTTGAGGCTGAGTCGACCTAGTGGAGGCCCAGGACCGGTTAAGATAATCGTCACTGGTCTCAACCGTGAGCGGGAATCGAACTCGGGTGGTCAGGCGCGTAGCGCAGCGCACGAACCTCTGTGCCACCACTCCCCGCACACAAAGACAAAGATCCCCCGTATAGCCTTAACAGGCTGTAGGGGCAAGTGCTGTTAGCGAGCACCTATGAAGGCCGGAACGGTACACACACAAACCCACACAGGAATTAAACAGAATCCACGGCGGCATAATATTTCAAAGCATCAGCCACCACCAGAGCCAGCCACGCGGGCAATTTGGTGTAGTTTTACATGGGTCCCTACCACCACCATCATCATCATCATCTGCCATGGTCAAATCCCACTGGGGTGGGATGAAATATCTCTCCTTTTTTTTATTCCCAAAACCGCAGCCCATCTAAGCTCATCACGATCGCGCACCCCGCGTAACAATCGGCTTGTTACAAAGGATTTCATCGCTCCGTTTTTTGCTCGGGAGGTAATAAGGATGTTCTCCCTCGGGCGCGTTCCAATCGGTTCCCACTGAAATAAAGACAATGCAGCCTATTCTTGTTCTGCTTTCACCTCGCTCTTCTCTTTGGCTAAATATTGAGGACAAGCGGTGTACAGTGCGTGCTTTTTGTGGTTGTTGTTCCGCTTGTGATTTGCTGCCATCTGTTGTCATCAATTGCTACTACTTCACGTGTGCCGTAGCCTCCTTTCACTCACCCACCCACCCCTGTATTTACATCACACGTTGGGGTTGCTTCTTTGCAATCTGGTGATTGTGTGCGAGTGGCGCGTTTGAGCTGTTGCCATCAGGCAGACGATTCAGATCAGTCAAAACAAGGACAAACAGATTCAAACAGAGCTTTTATCCTACAGCGATCACCACACTCAATAATGCGAATTAATTATTAAGTAATAGTGTTTACAATTGACTGTGAAATAGAGATGTGCAATGACAAAATGTAACCTTATGTGGGTATGTGGGTATACTTGGGCTGTTTTTATATATAGTATAAATTGATTATCTTTCATTTAATTTATTTTTATTTTCTTGTTTTATTTAATTTAAATTTATGAATGATGCCCTGACTGGTGAGCATTTTAAATTTCGTTGTACTGGTGACAATGACAATAAACGATCTATCTATCTTTATCTAACGAGACCACGTTTGTACAACGTTCTTGATGACAACCAAAACACGTTTGGCAGAGGAGTCTTAATACGGTATAACATCATCAGACCTTTCGCTCTCGCGAGGTTTATTTTTTAGAGTTTTTTTCCAGTAATTCGTCGACACGGTTGACCCCGCTGAGCCAGTTTTGCCCGGCACATTTTTGTTATTTTTTTAACAAGGCAGATCCGTGGCGCGTAAACACGACAACAACAACAACAAACAACAAAGATCCCACTCTGTGTAGCCTTAACAGTCTGTCGTGGCAAGTGCTGTTAGCGAGTTGCACCTATGAAGGAGCGAAGTTTACACACCGCACCAGGCTACTCATTTGAGCAACAAAGACAAACATCCCCCGGTATAGCCTGAACAGACTGTTGGGGCAACAACACAGAGGCAGTTTAACTGTCGCCTGATGAAGCTGGTTGTAATTACTGTCGAAACGTCGTACTCGAATTGTAAATATTGTGGCTTGTCTCTCCAACACACCGGTTAGTGCTGTACTAGTACACTACACTATACACTGCACTATACACTACTATACACTACACTATACACAACTATACACTCCACAACTATATACTACACTATACACTACACTATACACTACACAACTATACACTACACAACTATACACTACACTATACACTACTATACACTACACTATACACTACTATACACTACACTATACACTTAACTATACACTACACTACTATACACTACACTATACACTACACTATACACTACACTACTATACACTACACTACTATACACTACACTATACACTAGTGCTGTACTAGTGACGAATTGGCCACGTTCTGTTTACGTGACAAACCTTACTAGTTGGCTGTGTCGGGTGGTGGCGGGTTTTAACGACACATTTATATATTTACTCGATCTAACTCCCCCAAAAATCCTCTTATGGAACACAGAGACACACACACATTCAATTATTGTCGAGAATGTGGTACTGGGAGGGTGGGGATGCGGTGGTCCTTGAGGAATATTGTGCAACGAACAAACAACTTTGCTGCATTGCGATTTAAGTAGACATCGTGTTAATCATTTATCTGTTGGAGGGGAGAGAGTTGGGTGCCGGCTCATTCAAGAAAAGCCCACGCAGGCCAAACCCTCCTTCTTTACAGCTCTTACCCACTGTGGCTTTGCCATTTTTTTTCATTCTTATTCTTCCACGGGTGGATGGGTGGGGGGTTGGTGGTTTAAATACGAAAAGGTTGCTTTGAAAAGAAGGCGAGCCAATGATGCACAAGTGAATTGTGCACAAGGCCGGCCGAGCATTGGCGTTGTAGTTACAGAGTCCTCCCGAGCCTGGCAACGCGAGAGAGGGCTTTTGATGGTGGTGGTGGTGGGAGTTTGGAGATGCATTGCAGTCGGCAACACAACGCACGCTTCGCGTTCTTCTTCTCCTCCTCATCATCATCATCCTCCTCTTCAACACGGTGTTTTTTAATTGCTATTAAATTATCGGTTTCTTTTTGTTTCCCCTTCAGATAACGCCGCTACGATTTGTGAAGGGAAATGGGGGTTTAGCTGTGTCCATCGAAGCGTTTTAAAAGAAGTGTTATTTTAGTGCGGTGTCAAAAAGGGAATACTTTTTTTTAGTTGATGAGTGTTTCGTGAGGCGGGGGGGTAAAGAATTACGTTGGGATATGAGACCAGTGTCAACAACAAGTAATCCCGTAACACCACAATTTATGTTCAACTGGAGGAAAGGTACCGTGTAACAAGTGTACGTAAGGTCGACACGTTTATTTATTTAAAACAAGCTTGTTATAATGTAAATCAAGGTGTAATTTATCATTAACTCAGTTGATACGATGAACTCCATTTATTGTGTCGGTGTAACCGGTTGTGTTCGTTACAATTGTTATCAAACAAACTGCATCCACCCTCTTTATCCGGATCATAAGACGCACCCTCTCGTCTCGTGCAGGTTGTGTATGTGGTGTGTGAGCAGCCGAATTTGTGTAACTTCATTACCACAACTTTAGGGCGCGTCTTTACTTTGCGGATCCTCTCGTGATCCAGATAATGTCAATTGCTCGGTGACACGACACATGGGCGCGATGTTGTCTCTTAATTCTCCACGTTGAAAGAACGGTGCCTTGAACGATTCCAGAATATTGACATTTAAAACAAAACCTAATCGTGTAACACATTGTCATTTTAATTCACGAGCATGCGATTCATTAATTTGATAGCAAAACAAATGGCACCCGAGGCTAATTAGGGTTGGCACTCTCTCTCTCGTAAGCATTCAAGCGTGAGACAAGGTGGAGTTGGTTCGGTCTGGAGGGAGCCTGCATTGAGGCGTCATGCTGGACAGTGACAGAGGAATGCCTCTGTCCCTGCTAAGCCGAGGCATTGGCCTGCTCGTTCGGAATGGCCAGGAGAAGGTGGAGGTGTACTTCGAGCCTCAGGTAACTCTCTCACGCACGTACGTACGTACGTTCATCCACAACACAAAGCCATCTTTAACACGTAGGCTTTTGCGACCAATATTATTATTTTTAAATAACGCGATCTAAACCCAAAAACGTTTATTATGGACAAAGCCATCTGCATTCATGTAAGGTGTGGTGAATGCATTTATGATCAGCAGCAGCATCAACAGCAGCATCATCATGAAATTAGCAGCAACAGCTGGGGGCAAGATCATCAGTAGCAACAGCAGGATTTTCATCACAAGCATTATCAGCAGCAAAGCTTCCCTATCAGACAACAATAGAGCAGATGAGGTATCGTCTGCTCTTCACCGCAGGGGCAGTTTGTGTTCTCATCCTGGCCGAGATGGCCTCCACTTCCTGAGGTTTAGACTCTTTGGTTTTTTCGGTAAAGTCACGTAGGTAAAAAATTAATTACTGAAAAACAACTGAATAAAATCATGATGTTTTTCATTTATTTATTTTTTAACCTACGTGACTTTTCCGAAAAAACAAAGAGTATGAATCCTTGCAGTCACGAAAACTTCAAATCTAGAATTCCTGAAGTTTGCTTTGTACTATCCAACACCTGTACAAATTGCAGCCCAGGAATTACCAGATTGCCCATGGTTAAATTTTTTTGGGCAAAATTTACGTGTCATTCTTTGCTTTCTCTGCAATCCCCGAGGACTATTTGAACTGGCGGGTGACTGGAGGCCGGCATCCCTCGTGCCGCTGCCCTTACTGGCCCACCGGTGGCCTGGCCAAAACCTACACCACTCGGAAGGGGCCCCTCCTCCTCTACTCCGAAGAGCTCGCCTACCCGGCGCATCTCTACCAGGAGGAGGTTCGCCGTCACCAGCGGCGTGGCCACCAGCCCAGTCTCCCGCAGCCGGAGAGCTTCCTCCAGCAGGTCCAACCCCACCAGCAGGAGCATCTGAATCAGCAGGCCCTGCTGTACCAGCAAACGCAGCTCAACCAGAAAGCTCACCTTCAGCAAAGAGCGAGGGCGGCGCGGAGAAGGCCGGCACACCCGGACAGGAATGCAGATGCCGTCACCGCACAACTGAAAACCCTCAGCGACTTGACCGATGCGATCTTGATATATGGATGCAGACAGGTGAGATAATGCCACGCTCGTCGTTCGGTCGTCATCGTCACTTTTATGATAATTGTGCTTTAAAGCTTTCGTGACTGCAGGGATTCATCTTCTTGGTTCTTTCGGTAAAGTCACGTAGAATGGAAATAATAAAATAATAAAAATAAAACATAAAATAATTATTTTGTTATGTTTTAGTAAGAAAATAATTAAAATAAAACATAATAAAATAATTATTTTATGTTTTATTTAGTCTGGGGTGTGTCATTCAGAGTCTGGGGTGTGTCATTCAGACTCTGTCTTCTCGACAGACCTGTTCTCCACCTGAGGACGGCTGCTTGCGTTGTGGCCGAAACGTCGTGAGAATTATTTTATTATGTTTTATTTTTATTATTTTATTATTTCCATTCTACGTGACTTTACCGAAAGAACCAAGAAGATATAATTGTGCTGTCCGCAAAATGTAATGCCACAAGACAAAGTGTTCATTCGGATCCCTGCAAAGGACTGCAATTGCCCCCCGTGTGCATTGGTCAGCAGAAGCAGATGTCACAGAAATACCTCCAGCACTCTTCAAGTAACCTTTATTGTCCACACTCGGAAGGGGTGCAACTTTTCCACCCTCCCTGCCCCGCTGCTGCAGATGCAGATTAGTTGCATGCCAGTCACACCGAGATGCTAAAACAATTCAAAGCTGCGCATTAGCTAATTTGAATGGAAAATCTAAATTAATATGATGATCTTTTTTTAGTTGGTCCAGTCACTGAGTTGAGACCATCCACTCTCTACACTTGGTAATGTGGCATAATCACAGTTTGTTTGGACCCACATTTCAACCCTAGTCGTTCTGATAATTGTTTTTTTACCCTTTTATCTGGCAACAAAACTGACACCTTTTTACAAGTTGTTCTGCTATGCTGGCTCAACACCCTGACCGCCGAGCTACCTATACATATATTTTTTTATGTTCAATGTCATTGATTCAGTAAATATAACGGATAACAATACGGGTAGTCTGGGATTCCATTACATTTAATAAAAAAAAAATTGGTAGCTTTGCCAATTTTTTTTCCAATCAAACTCAATTTCTACCTGCTGCTCCCATGTGAGCGAAGCACTTGTCAGCAACAGCTTTTGAGGCTTTATCTGCCACGAAAACTCTCGTGACACTCCTGAGGTAGTTTCATACCGAGTGTGGCAAACAGTACTGCGGCATATTCTTAGGTTTTTTCGGTAAAGTCACGTAGGTAAAAAAATTAAAATTAATTAAAGTAAAATAGCTCTCACTTGATATAGCTATCGTGCTGTGACGGTCCCACCTGAAGACGGAAGCTTGTGTTGCCTCCGAAACGTCGTGATTTTTATTTTATTTTTATTTTACTTTTATTAATTTACATTTTTTTACCTACGTGACTTTACCGAAAAAAACCTAAGAATATGAATCCTTGCAGTCACGAAAGCTTCAAATCTAGAATTAAGTACTGTGGCACTATCCTCAGTCGACCAGGCCAAACATTCTGGGCTAGAAACCATTGGCTACTATGTTGAGTAAACATTGATTGGGAGGTTGCACAGTAGCAAGGCCAAACAGTTTGAAACATTGTTGGTTTAGTTGTCCTCTTTCCAGTCTGGCCTTTGGACAAGCGCTGTAGCATGAACATAGCAAATAGAAACTTGATGACGTAGTGGCACAGTGGTGAGCACACTGCTCTGAACCCGGCGACCTGAGTTCAATTTCTGGCCACAGCTAAAATCAGAGGCTAGTGATATCCGAATCATTACTTGAAACCTCGTCACATAGCCCCCCCCTTCCCGCTTCACCAACCTGCATTGGTCAGTCTGGTCAAACAGCTCCCATGACCAACATGGCACGTGATGCATTTCACCAGCAGTGGATTGAGAATAGGCTGTTAAGTTATTTAACTGAAACGCTGTGCGGGATGGGTTCACGTTATACCTGAAGCCACTTGTTAGCCATGGGCAGGAATCAAACTCAGGTTGCCGGGTTCAAAGCGCAGCTCATTAATGTTCCATTTTATCGACCTCATGCAGCACGTACCAAAATAAATTAATAGATTCTTACCCAATTTAAAACATTTGTTATGACATGAATCAATTGTTTCTCGCCGCTATTGGTTACGCAGAATCATGTAGTGTGCCAAAACATCATTAATACGAAAGGTTTATACCACAGAATTGCAGCACTTAAGACAGCATGTTTAAAAGACCTCCAGCAGGCATATCATTGAACCAATATTCTTGTTGACCGAAGACAAAAAATGTGATAACCAATGCTTACTCGGCCGCTTCATCACTATTTGAACAGCCCCTTGCACATTTCTCTGGATATAATTCATTGATCTGTTATGCATTATCTAATATTATGCCGCTTTTTTCAAAACGGATCACGATCAAAATGGGAAGCAATGTAGTGATGGTTCACAGTATCGCAATAATTGTCCATTAAAATATCGCAATAACGCCACACACCTCGCTGAAGAAAATGAAATATGGGTTGTGCTTGCGAAAAAGACATGGGAAAACACTCTAGGGTCCCTTTGAAAGGAGTGCCACTTTGCAAGGCTAATTTAGACATAATTACAAGTGCATACACATGGGGCTTTAAGTGCATCTTATTATAGCTCTGTACCAAACTTGCTCCCGCAGGCGGTATTATCTTGAGAGCTCGGTGTCATACCACACGTGAATTATGAGCCTGATGATGACGCATGTGTAGACTTTGGCTCCTCGCGCACTTCCTTCAGACTCAACTAGCCCTTCTGATGGGTGGCTCAGGGAAATATTTGATTCCCCACAAAGAGAAATACACACCCGAGTGTGCAGGATATCGGCACTTCAGTGTTGTCCCCATGGTCTACTGCGGCTATACTTTGAGCGGAAAACGTCTCTCACCAGGGCAGCTGAGAGCAACAGGACTCTCTCTCTCTTATCCAGTTTTCACTGGCACATCACAGCCATGCCAGCGTGGGGCTCTCACGGTATGTGTGGGTAGGTTTCCACTGGCTAATTGCCAAGCTGAGCTCGAACAAAACCGTGAAACGTGAGCCTCATAAAGCATCTGATTCTGACTCGGGGGCCAAACAGGGTCCGTGACCGAGTTAATCACGATCATCGTGCATGCGCCTTAACTCGTGGATTGCCTGTAATGTCCATTGGTACAGTGATAACACGCTCTTCCCCGCGTCATCGACTCGTTCATTTCGTGTGACGTCAGCAGCATGGCTCGGGTTCTGCAGTTGGAAAAAAACATTGTGAGCCGCCCCGGGCTGACTCGGCACGGCCCCGGCACGGTTTGGTTATGCGGTGGAAAAAAGGAGGTTTCTGTGGTGTGCAGATTGTGGGAGGCCAGCATTGCCCGAGCATTCAGTCCCTTCCGTCGGAGACGGCGAGCAGGATTCGGCCGGGCTACTCCGCACGCCGCTACCTCTGCAACTGGTTTCACTCCTGGGATGAAGCATTGCTGCTCAAGCTCCACAATTCGGGTGCGAACCCTCGGACCTTTCTGCGGTGGAGTGTGTGGTGAGAATTCAGCGTGGGGTATGACGGCGCAGCGGTTAGTGCCACGAACCCGGCGACCTGAGTTCGAGTCCCGCTCACGGCCAACACCAAGTGACGAATATCCTAACCGGTCCTGGGCCTCCCCGAGTTCGACTCAGTCTCAAATGAGTACCTGGTGCGGTGTGTAAACATCGCCACAAAGGCGGTCGGGTATGGTGCTGGCTACCCCACCCCCTCGTGTGCCGCACCAGCCTTCATAGGTGCTTGGTAACAGCACTTGCCCCAGCAGTCTGTGAGGGCTATATGGAGGATATTTGTTTTTGGTGAAGACTCAGAATACCAGTGGATATTGTAATAACCATTATGCCTTCCATATAACCTGATGTAACCATACTGCTTTGTACAATGCGCACAGCCTTGTTTTAGACCACCACCTCAAAATAGTCAAAATTGTGGCTGTTTCATTTAGAGAGCCAAAGGAAAATTAGTCAACTGTATACCTGTATTTAATGAGTTCACGTGACCTTCCAGCCACTAGAGGCCTCAAGTGTTGCAAACATAACTCTGAAATAGAACCACAACCCTGACTGGTGACAGTTGATGGAATCCTTGCAGCTTTAATCACCACTACAGCCATAATATGTGTTTTTCCCTTCCCCCTCTGTGCATATTTTGGCTATGAACAGGTCGGATTTCATACTCCACGCTGTACCGGGAGGGCAGGTGGAGCCCACGCGCCTTTAGAAGAGCTCACTATGACCTTACTGCAGCGCCGCAGCCGTATCAGCTCACAAGCAGCATGCTGCAGGCACCCGGACATACCCTGTTATGCAGGACCGTTGCCAGCTATGCGAGCGGTATGCCGACGGTGACCAAAACAAAACACAAAAAAATCACCTGGTTACCAGAGAGCATCGTGATGTAGTAGTACTACTGTACTACGTGGATTTTTTTCCACCGTTGTGCTGTATGCAGCTCTCCGATATGCTGCTGGGCTTACCGCGAGTTGCTTGGCAGAATGTCCGACGTTGCATCGACGGTTCCCGACGAAGGTCTGGGACCCGACGACACGTGGAAACGGCCCGGAAACGCATCGGAGAGTTATCGTGAAGTCGCGGTGTAAACAAATTAGCGTTAGCTATTGAGCGTGCGGGTGGCGCAACTGCACGAGTGCCCGCGGGCCAGAGGGATTCAGGCGCCGGGCTAAGAAGAAGTTGGAAGTCATCATTTGTGGTTATTTCCCCCCCGGCCACCCCCCCAATTTCGAACTCCTCGCGGCCATGTAAGTCGTGTTGAATGAGAAAACCGGAAGGGAAAAATTAAACAACGACAACGAGGTGTGTGTGAGAACTCGGTGTTTAGAGTGAATAACCACGTGCACTATGAACACTGCCTTACATCGGATAAATATACGGCGGGCTGACGTTTTGGGCAATGGGCCTTCTTCAGAGCAGGGGGGGCAGAGAGAGAGACTCGCCGCCACGTGGTTGAAAATCACACTTTCCGCTCTCGTTCCCTGAGGCGATCGGGCTGAGACCATAAACTCGCTGTGCTTGAGAAACCCATTATACTCACAGGTGGCGGTTGCCTGGATTTGAACCCACGATCTCAGTGGTGCCAGCTCTTCACTCTGATCTTATTTCTCCTACTTCTTTAATGGCAACCCAGCGACTGATGGCCCCCTATCCTTGAAATGTGTTCCTTAATCACGACGGCACGCGGTGCCTTGCAGGCGATGAAACGGAGGAGAAGCAGCAGGGTTCCGGCAAGCAGATGACACTGCCGGACGGCGCCGGTGCCTCAAGTTTCCCTGACAGCGGCCAGTGCGGCGTTATCGGCAAATGCTTTGATCAGTCCGCGAACGGACATCGGCTTGAGCCTTCATCTCAGGATAGCATCGTGAAGGTACGGTCACAGAGGCTGTGGCACATTTGCACTTTGAATCTGAAATATGATGGATTTCTCAAGTGGCACCAGCAGATGTAAAGCACCTTAATTTGGTTAGATGGAAAAAGGTTTTTTTTATTTCTTGAGTGTTTTTTAGTTTTATCATCAACAAACACACTTTTGAAGACCTAAGTGATAGTTAAGAGTAAATACACCTTGAATTGAGCAAGGTTACATGATGTTGGGAAAAGAGAGAATCGATGCAATTCCAAAGAGGAGCAGTGCGAGAGGGGAAGAAACAGAAAGAGAAGTGTCATCACCTGCTGTTCTGTGGTTGGTTACAGTATGGATGAGTCGGAATAGTCTGATAGATGGATGGAGAATTCAGTGGTGGAGCAATCGGTTAAAAATAATATTTTAAATTGGATGTAAAGATGTAAACTCTTACAGTTCACACTTATTTTAAGGTTTTTTAAATGATTTTTTTTACATTGCTTACAGGTTCATAATACAGGTTTTTTTTGGGTTAGATCGCGTAAATATATAAATGTGTCGTTAAACCCGCCACCACCCGACACAGCCAATTAGGTTTGTCACGTAAACAGAACGTGGCCAATTCGTTACCAGTACAGCACACCGGTGTGTTGGAGAGCCAAGCCACAACATTTACAATCTGAGTACGACGTTTCGCCAGTAATTACAACCAGCTTCATCAGGCGACAGACAGATTTGTGGAGAAGTCCACCTGTTTCGTTCCTTAAATAGAGGCGTAGATGTGATGGCAACACTTGTGCACTCTTCTTGCACGAAATTGGGGGGGGGATTCATGAATCAACGCACATTATGCGAGCCCATTAATCTTGCATTTCCTGTCCAATGTCTGTACTAAAGCCTACATGTTAAATCGTTGATATTCCAATCGTGCTTGATTACTATTTGCCTTTATTTGTGAATGCGAACGGCATTCTATTATCTTCTTGGTTCTTTCGGTAAAGTCACGTAGAAGGGAAATAATAAAATAATAAAAATAACACATAATACAATAATTTTCACGACGTTTCGGCCACAACGCAAGCAGCCGTCCTCAGGTGAAGAACAGGTCTGTCGGAAAGACAGCGTCTGAAGTCTTTCCGACAGACCTGTTCTTCACCTGAGGACGGCTGCTTGCGTTGTGGCCGAAACGTCGTGAGAATTGTTTTATTATGTGTTATTTTTATTATTTTATTATTTCCCTTTTACGTGACTTTACCGAAAGAACCAAGAAGATGAATCCCTGTAGTCACGAAAGCTTTAAATCGGCATTGTATTATTTTACCTAATTGGGTGAATCCACATAGAAACATTGCTACCCACTGTGAGACTACCGCAGACTACAAATGTCTGTGCGAACACACCTTCTTGATAGCCGTGTGCTCGAAGAATGGCACGAATGCCCAAATGAACTAACGATTTTGATTTGTGACCCGGGTTTCCCTTGAAAGAGATACTTTTAGCCTCAGTGGTCTTTTTACCTGTTTTTTTTCCCTAAAGGGCATCTGTATATCTGTCTACAGGAAACCATAAGCAGGATTGATGCCCTAAAATCCAGCAGGCTACCTCCTATTGGTGCTCATATATCAGTAAGTGGAGAAGTTTAAGTTCACATTTTTTCATTGTGTTTTGGTACATACTGCTTTATTATAAAACTGTGTTTAGGCCAACTACGCTAGGAACACGGTGACGTACCTTGAGATTCCCGGCAACGCTCTTTTGCGTCGATGATGAGCGATATCTGAACTATTCATAACACCCACCTTCACTAACCCGCACCGACAAAGCATGCTGATGTTGGAAGTATGGTTAATCAACCCCCATGACTGACACTGCAATGTGGAGCCTTTCATGCAGCTATGGAATAACATTTATATGATGTTATTTGATCATATACACATTATATATTGGGTTAAAAATATATATTCTTTTTTTAAAGACGAGATAAGCTGCATTTATTCTTCTCAATGTCCTTAAGTTCTTACACAATGCGGGGTAGGTTAAATGTTGACTTTGTCATGGCCGTGCAACCGTGTTTTAAAAAGATGGCTTTTGTTTCCTTATTTTCCTTGCCTTTGACTGCAGCCCGCAGTGCGGGAGAGACCCCCACCACTTCACCGGACTCTCATTGACACCTCTCATCTCCGCAGCCCGGAGGAAAACAGATCCTTCGCATCATTTTATGGTGGCTCGCTCGCTGGAAACCGCAGGAAATGTCAGCAGTAAGTTTTTATCTTTAACGACTTACATGCCGACTTAGTGCACTATACGGCAAAGATACATCATCCTGACATGGTAATGATCACTGCGTAGGTTTTTCGTGGTTGTGCCGAATATCATTCCCATAGGTTTTCGGGTCGTACAACCCGGTGAGTATGTGGGTTGTACCACGTGTTGTTTGGCACTGTGTCCTACATGCTGGAAGCTTCTTTAAAAACTGAATATTCCATTCCTGAATGCGGTACAACCTGAAAACACCTAATGGGGTGATAGTAATCATCATTTTCATCATCATCAGCACCAGCAGTAGTAACATCATCATTAGCATCATAAATCACCAATGATCACATTCTGAAATACAATGCACCTCGATTTGTCTGTGGTCATATTTCCTGCATCTCAAGTAACCACAGGCTCTGTTGATCTGTGACACATCCTGTTATCTGCAGATGGCTCCTTACTCCTTACATTTATCCATGGATAAGTCATTCAAAAGCAGTCTCTCAAAAGTGATCAATTAATCCCATTTGCATTTTTTGCCAGATAAAAAGAGGGATTTAGAAGTGCCAATACATCCATCCTATTATCTGCCATTATCTGTGGATAAGCACATGGATATCAAAGTTTATTTCACAGACGTCGACAATATTACAGTATCCCCCAATAGCGCCCGCTCACATATCAACGCTAATGAGATAGGTTTCACACGTACTGTTGGACAGGTTTCCCAAGCCCAGCATCTAGTGCTGATCAACACCTTACATGTTTCGTCAGTTTAGTTCTCTCACGCATCTCAACGTTGTTGTTTTCTTCCCTCGCTGTTTTCTCATTCAATGCGACTTTACATGGCTGTGAAGTTTAACGCATTTTCCGAAAAACTTGTCTTTTGACAAGTTTCGGCGAAGGCTCTGGCTGTGGACAAACGAGACTCGGGATATGGAGAAGAGGACAGGGGGATGTCGCGCTTTCCTGCTGTCACAGAGACGATCTCGAAGGAACCGGCAAGAAAGCCAGTGAGTGATCTCAATCTGCATACTTATCACGTCATTCAATTGTCTTTTATGTAACTGACTAGGCTATTCTAGATTTGAAGCTTTCGTGACTGCAAGGATTCATATTCTTAGGTACAGCTCTTGATACAGCTATCGTGCTGTGACGGTTTCACCTGAAGACGGAAGCTTGTGTTGCCTCCGAAACGTCGTGATTTTAATTTTAATTTTACTTTTATTAATTTTAATTGTAATTTTTTACCTACGTGACTTTACCGAAAAAACCTAAGAATATGACTAGGCTATGCTGGTACTGTAAACCAGATCACTTGTAACATATGCTGGGGCCCTTCACCTGGTAGCCAGCATGCTATGATCACATTTGTTTTCTATGAGGGCAATTTGTTTTAAAACGAAAGTGTGCAAGCCTTTCGGCAGGTATATATGCAACGCGTTGCTAATCCACATCTGTACCAACACCACATTATACTCGTTCACACTTGCTGATTTAAACTGACTTAACTGCACTTGATGACTCGCTGGCACAAGTGAGGGCCAAACCACAAACTGCTGTACCTGCACATCTGGCTTGGAGGCCCTGTCTTCTAGTTAATGAGTAATAACTCTACCTGAACTACCGACTCACCCCTATCCGATGACCAACAACAATGACTTTGACATTGCTCGTAAGGCACTGGCGTAAAGCAGCATAATAGTATGAGCAAAATGTGATCTTCTTCTGGGGGTTAGGCCACGTGGTGAGCCTTACTTCTCTCAAGCTTTCGCCACCACAAATCGCTCCGGTTATCTTCTTCAATTCAACTCCTGGAAATGGATCACACTTGTTTGAGAGAACAAATGTTTGACACGTGGTCTAACCTCGAAGACCAGCAACACATACGTTCTAAAATTAACGGTGTGAGATCACCCTTATGGACGTGGTGGCGGAGCATGCACATTTGCCCGTGAGCAAAACCACCTACGCGCCTTTGTGTGTTTTCGTGCACCGGCAGCCAACGTCCGATGGCGTGAAGCTGCCGCTCATTACGATGGAGCCTCCTGCCACTCCCCAGAAGCAACAGGCCGGGGATAACACGGAGGGGGAGGCAGAGCAGAGGAAGGGACCTCCTCAACCACTGCTGCCGTCCATCTCCCGGGGCAGGTCACCCACGACGGGGCAAGGCATCGGCCCCGTTCAGGACCGCGTTGGTAGAACGTGGGGCTTAATCAAACAGGGGGCCACGCGGGGGGGCGTCACACCGTTCGAGGCGGCCCGGGCAAAGCCAGCAACAGGCGGCGCCCGACACGGCCAAGTTGCCAGAGACGCTGGAGTGAATAGAATGGCACGAGCCGACCAAGGTGCCGTCACTTTCGTCAAGCCACAGCGGGATCGTTCCCCGGATCGTGGAGCGACCAAAGCTCAAGTTTCGTTGCCGCCTGGAGATGAGCCTGTCTGTGCAGCTAAAGAGAGAGATGGAGCACCAGGTGTTCACTGGGGTGATGCGGTCGTTGCCAGCAGCTCAGGACAACCGGTCAGGCGAGCGACGGATGTGGAGGGACCTTCAGTTGTTGGCCAGATGGCTGCAGGTGAAAGCTCTCAATGTAAGCATTACATGAAGCACCCTTGTATTTGATGTGACTATAGGGACAGTAAACTGTCAATGTGTGGGGAATGCCACAGTGTTTCAAATATTTTTTCACGTGTTAAATGTTAATAAAATTTCATATGGAATCTGTTCTAGATTCTTGGATTAACATGAAAAATCTGAAAATCGTGGCTCGATATGAGATTTCGTATGATTTAAATAACAATTGTTTTGAATTCATCTAAAGATGTGTATGTGGGGATACCGGTGTATAAATATATTTGTTTGCGATTATTCATTACCCTCATCCTTCAGATGAGTGGCAGCTTCTTGGGAAAAAGGGGCCCGGCAGCCATGACAGTGCGAGAAGCAACAAGGGAGGCAAGGGTGCACAAGACATGGGCATCAAGGGCGACAAGGCCGGCAGAGACATCGTCATCAACCCAGAGGACATAGGTAGGGTTTCTACCCATCCTGGTTTTCCTAGGAATATCCCCTTTTTGAGATCGCTGTCCCTGAAAATCTAAAAGTCTTCCCGGCATATTTAAAGTCCCAGATTTTGTCAGTTGCGTAGTAATTTACTACTCGAAACGATGCATTTACACGTATTCTCCCCTCTTTTTTGCTATTGCGAGATATTATTCTCATCATATTTTTTTCTTCCTGTTCCTCAGAGGTAGCACAAACTGTAGACGTCGACCTCGAGTTTCCCCCAGTGGCCACCGGGGTTAACGTGGGTGCCGGCGAGGTTAGCGGCGCCAAGGCCGAACGGGGCGGTGCTAAGCCTGGCGGTGCCGCCGCCGCTTCTGGGGCAGCAGGCGCGAGGACCGGGGGTGGCGGCATGAAGCCCGGCGACGCGGCCGAGGGCAGCGGCGTGAAGGCCGGAGCCTGCAGCATCACGTTTGAGGGCGGCACCGAGGGATCGGGCAACAGTTCGAGCAACAAGCTCAACGGCGGAGTCACTAAAGGCGTCCCCAAGGCCTCGGGCGGCAACGCGAAGGCCGCAGGTGGCGAAGGGACGACCGTAGTGAAAGGGAATTTACCCGAAGAGCTGAGAGGTCGGTGATTCTGCGGTGTTTTTTGTTGTTGTATTAATACTAACAAGGCGAAAATACGTGAACGCTGAATTTGTTTTCGTGACGAGCACTTGTAACCATCTTCTACGGATTATAGCTCCCTCCGGAAAGTAAGACACATGGCCAACTTGTGCCCGGTATTAGTACAGTCATGCAAATCTGCTCTCACACACGGACACACATATGCCTGCCAGATTATAGGATGCACCCCCACCTTTTTCTTTAATATAGTTGGAAAAAATGCGTCCTATAATCCGGAGACTATGGTATTAACTGAAAACCTACACCTTTACTGAAAGTACAGTATGTATGTTGAACTTCTTTCATGCCTGCTGATGTCTTATCACCCTCTTCTCAACAGGTGATTGATTATGGTGAAAGTGATCGCTCCATATCTGACAAGTTAGAGTGTGAAGAGATGTAATATATGTGTTGAGCTATGTGAGAGACGTGCAGAGGCTTTAAGAATAAAATGTCGTTTTTTGCCTAATGTATCCCTTATTTTAGTTGGTTACCTATAAACGAATCACCTTTTTTTCACCAGCGTTATGCTTAACACGGAGGCTTTCGCGACCAATATTATTCATAATCAACGTTTTTGGGTTTAGATCGCGTTATTATAAAAATTGTAAATGTTGTGGTTTCACGTTTCAACACACCGGTGGGCTAAAGCAGTGAACTATTTGTCTTTTGTCAACGTGACACTTTTTTACTGATTGGCCGTGTCGGGTGGTGGAGGGTTACGACACATTTATAAATAACGCGATCTAAACCCAAAAACGTTGATTATGAAGCGTTATGCTTATCAGAATCTTTGTTTATCCTGGAGAAATCTGATGAGCAATGACGTTATTTTTGAAAGATGTCCAGTAGCTCCACAGATGTCCGGTGGGCATCATCATTATTAAATCCTTTATATTAAGTTCACTTGCTTGCTTGCGCGCTTACAACCGTGCAAATCTTTCGGTCGTTTTTTAACCCACTTCCCGTGATCCAATCGAGCTGACATTTTGCACACTGACTCGTTGTGCGTGACAATTTATTTTCGTGAAAAATGTTTTTCAAAATTTTCCACTATTTAGGAAAAAAAAAATTCATATTTAATTTAAAATACCAATGTGATAAAAACGAAACTCTTACTCAAGAAAAACAGAAATGAATAATAAAATAAAACCGATGCCACGCATATAAAGGATTTATAGTGAAAAACTTTGTTTCTACGGGTTAATTTTTAACTGTACCCTTACAGATCAATCTTACGCTAAAACATACTTTGTGCATCCTTTACCCCGCGTGCATCTTATAGCCACACACACGGGAGGAGACTTCATGGGCAGTGCTGTCCTGGGTCCCGACGGGGAAATCATCAAACTATCTTTGGTGAGAGCCGCCTATTACATCGACGCGAAAGGGCAAGACGGCGCTGGAGATGTGCTCGTGTTCAACGTGAGCGTGGAGCACAACGCTGCGGCACACGAGCGGCAGTGGAACGCGCTCCTGGGGACCTCGCAGCGGAGAGGAGGAGACGAAGGTACGCCGGCCGCACCTTTAGCACCACGCGCAGATCTTGATCGCCGCTATAAATGTCCACTCCGATAAGCCGACTTCGTTGAGCGACTATTTGTGGCCAAATTTCGATTTAAAGCTTTCGTGACTGCAGGGATTCATCTTCTTGGTTCTTTCGGTAAAGTCACGTAGAATGGAAATAATAAATAATAAAAATAAAACATGATAAATAATTCTCACGATGTTTCGGCCAGGTCGCTTCTGAAAAATAGCTCAGTGGGCCTTACCTGGTAAAATAAAAAAAATGCTCGTTTTACAAGACAGCAGCAATCCTCTCGGGAGAAAACGAGTTAATGTTTGCAGTGGGAAGTGAGGTGAGATCGCTCCGTCTGTCTTTTGTTTAGGCTCGCCTTGTTAAAACAAATGCTGCCATTTGTCCTGTGCAGTAAAATGTCTTTTAAGACTGCAGTGACACGAGTGGGGAAATGTAAAGCAAATATTTGTATGTTTGTACGGAATAATGGCATCGCGGTTACTGTGCTATGAACTCGGTGGTGACCTTGCTTCAATTCCTGACATTGTTTAACAACAGTGGTGAGTGATATATGAACCTGTTCTGGACCTCTGCTAGGTTGACTCGTTGTGTAAACATCAGCACTGCAAAAACTAAGATGCTCTCTTGCGCAATGACAGTCTTAACAGGTGTTCTGATAAAAGCACTTGCCCCAACAGTCTATATGGCTAAACAAGAATCTCTGTCTGTGTGTGTGTGTTTAAAAAGATGTGAGGTCAGTCGAGTCTGGGGTGATGGAAGACGAGGATTACCAAGACCTTCCCGTTTCCAACAAACAGAGCCCACGTAATCCAATGCACAAACTCACTGCCACGAATTTAGTGATATTCTCACACATGTCTTTTACTAACCACTGTTGCATTCTTTCAGGTGACATTGACACTGATAAAGACACAAAAACTGAGAAGGGGACCACTGCTTTTTCTGCTGTTTCCCAGGTACAAAAACATGCGTGTGCATAACCATCATCATCAATCGCGGTGATTCATTCTCTGCTTAATTAATGCTTCCTTACCAAGTCTCTATAGCTCATGGTATTGAACTCCAAAATTAGATGAATTTTCAACATTCGGAGCCGCAACTTTATCAATGTTTTTACTTTACCGTTTGCATTGTTTCCCTTTTGCTCTCTCTCTCTCTCAGTTTCACAATCTCGTTCGCTCAATGTATCTCTACGTGTCATTTTCATAAGTTGTAAATAATCGACACTCGCACGATTCGATACATGTATCTTGAGCGTGATAATTAATTTTTTTAGTCAAATGAAGCATCGCATGCCTCTAGTATCTACAGCAAAGCGAGGGCAATGATGTAGTCTGATGTCATTTATTTTGTTTCTGCACGTTACCAGGGAGCTGCAGACAGTGGATTGTTTGTTACAAGTCCCGTGACAATGTCTGAACTGACGGAACCTGGCACGGGCATGGGTGAGCTGTTATTTTTGTTTTCTCTTCATATTTTTGTATCTGCAGTCATGAGACAAAGGATCCGTTAGAATTACTTGCAAAGCAGTTCATCTCTTCCGTTGTTAGAGAATGGCCCGCAGAAGCAATTATCAAAGAGCTACCACTGAGATTCCTTTCAAATGACCTCTACCCTACACAGCAGGGGGGAATAATTTCCCCGCATACCCTGACAGTAAAAGCAATATTTCAATTCGTAGAACTGGAATTCAGTCAAATCGCTATGAGACCTCCTTTACCAGTGGCAAAATATAGTAGTAGGTTTTTACCCTTTAAACTGGCACAAAACTGACACCTTTATACAAGGCATCATGTTTGCAATAACTACAACACAAGCAATCAAAATGCAAACAAAAAGAAACAACTTTGATAATGGTAATGATATGCACTGTCCTTGAAGTTGATTGGTCCACACCCGAGACAGCTTTCCTTAGAGCCTAGTCTCCATTGGTGTTGGACCAGATGACGCGTTTTGGTGTTGGACCAGATGACGCGTTTTGGTGTTGGACCAGATGACGCCTTTTGGTGTTGGACCAGATGACGCCTTTTGGCGTCATCTGGTCCAACACCAATGGAGACTTGGCTCTAAGGAAAACTGTCTCGGGTGTGGACCAATCAACTTCAAAGACAGTGCATATCATTACCATTATCAGAGTTGTTTCTTTCAGTCAAATCAGTTTGCAGTACTAAACGCCTTTTGGCGTCATCTGGTCCAACACCAATGGAGACTAGGCTCTAAGGAAAGCTGTCTCGGGTGTGGACCAATCAACTTCAAGGACAGTGCATATCATTACCATTATCAGAGTTGTTTCTTTCAGTCAAATCAGTTTGCAGTACTAAATGTCGTGGAGGTTTTTTTTTTTTTATGCAGTGGCCGGATTGACACCATCAAGCAGTCAGGCGACGACCATTGCTCTCATAGGGAAATGACTACCCTCTACCACGTGTGAAAAGGGGATGGAAGCAATCGATCTGTGATATCCATGTCTGTGGACCATTCTCTCATTGGTGACCGGCCTGAGACCATAAATTCGCTACACTTGAGAACACTGGTTTAATCACGAGTGGATGAAACCTAGTTGTGGCGTGAGAACTAAACGACAAGTCACAAGCCCATATACAATGCGTTGTGATGAGGCCAACTCTGGTTGTAAAGGAGCTAGCGAGTGTTTGCAGACACAGCAATACAATTACACGTATTGTTGATGTGCAGCTGGGCATTAAAAACCACAATCACGGCTCCTGCGCTAGGTAAATGTAGCTAATCTGGGCAGAATTAAGCCTAAGCCCTTGATGAATTTAAAATATAATTCCACAGGTTGAACCATGTGTGAGATACAGTGCAGAATGTGTTCACTCCTTTAAAGGAATGGGCAAGATTAACTCTGCGTCTGAACAGACAATTGAGTGCATAACAAATCTAAAATTACATCTTTAATCTGCTGTTATTAACCCGTACGAAAGAAGAAGTGCAGAATATGAAGGTTTACGTTTATGCTTATACAATTGTAAGCTAGCGTAATACAATTGTTGGATAATTCATGAATTTGGACGATTCAAATGACACTCGGTACAGTTGGTTACAGTTGTGTTTGCTGTAGAAGTAAACTTTGACTGTAGTTCAGGAAGGACAACAACTTCAACACATTAGTAATTTACGTTGCCATTAATATCAAACAATATATAATATGTGATGCTTTGGGCAATGGGCCGTCATCACAGCAGTGTAAATGTTCCCTTCCACAGCTTGTCAACAATGTCATTACCACTTGCTTCTTATCAAAAAACAAGTGCTCACATCGGCGTGTAATAATGCAGTCCCTTAGGAACTATGATTCTATGAATGATCATGATTCAGAGCGGCAGATTGATAAAAAAATCGATACTTTTTTACGCCACATTTTGCCATCTCGTTTCTTTTGTCATTTTGTTCTCTCCGCTTGCCTAACTGAAAGATTAGCATATAATCCACAGGTAACATACGTAGATCATGTACACGTGTACAGCCCTTTTTGTTTATAGACTGTTGGATGAAGGCCTTCCCACACTCTGCGGGTCATGGGGGTTACTCGACCACACTCCACCGTGCTGGCCGGTGTGGGTTTGGTAAAGGCGAGGAGGAACAAGTATAACCCGTAAAAACAACGTTTTTCACTATAAATCCTTTATGTGCGTGGCGGCTAGAGTCCTCTCGTCCTCTGGCTTGAGATGGCTGCCACCTATGGGTCAGATGATTGCATGGCAGCATTAAGCAATTGGTAATTAAACATAATATTTTTGTCCTAAAACGTGTAAAAATTTTGAAAAAAAATTTTGACGAACATTAATTGTCACGCACAACGAGTCTGTGTGGAAAATGTCAGCTCGATTGGATCACGGGAAGTGGGTTAAAAAACGACCGAAAGATTTGCATGGTCCTAAGCAAGCAAGCAAGTGAACTTAATATAAAGGATTTTTTAAAAACGCAGGAGTCTGGAAGCACAGCACAGCGATGGAATTGTTCAGCTTTGCCCTGTGCCACCCGCCACGTAGCTCCCGCAGCCCTATGACAACCCTTGTTCGACGTCAGAGAAACAAAGCCCTGGCTGAAACGATGCATCGTGAGTAAAATATCGTGGTTTTGTATTATTATTGCCGTAATTTAATGAAATGTTGCAGCTTTGCCTCCGGCGTCAGAATCGATGGTCAAGGTGGAGTTCGACACGTGGAGCCGCGAGCTCAACTCATCGCCGAGTCCCAACGAGACCATTATTGTAGAGGACGGCCGCACCGGACGGCGGATCGTCAGGTCGCAGCAGACGCCAACGCAGATGGGACCTCCAAGCAGGAGCAAAACGTCCGTCTCCATCATCCTACCCTCCCAGGGTGCGTCATTTTTTGAGCGGCAGCCATCCCGAGCTGTTCCCTCTTCGAATTCATGCAGGATAAATGTGTGTGTTGAACTTCATTCGCACTGTACCTAGCCAACCGCGCAAATCGGAGGTGCGGGAGAAGGAGAATGTAAGGATAATGAAATGCAACGGAGGTTTTGTTTGTGTATATTTGTAATAGACTACTAGACAAAGGTCTGTTTGTATTGCCACCATCATCATGGGCCATTGCCCATCTATTTCTGGATGAAAGGCTTCAACACACAGTCGACATCTCGAAAGGTCCTGGGATGCCACAATGCATCTTGTGAAATAATATTGTATTCTGATTTGAATTGGTACATCTTTCTTTTCCGTTTGCCTGTAGGTATGGATGATCCAGAATCATTCCGTTCTGATGAAGACAGCTCAAGTGTGCTCTCAAATGCATTTAAAGACTCAAAGGAACAGCATATGAATAATCACGTGTCTGAGACCAGCCAGAACCATGAGAGGCAAGAGCATTTGTTGAATTTGTCAATCTAAATGTATATTTAGCACATATTGAAAATGTGAATTCTAAAACCATGTGGCTTAAAGCGAACACACTCACACAATATGCTGCCAAGCTGCACCAGTGTCTTCCTGATCTGAAATAAATGTGGATACGTAAACATGAAACCAGGCCATGTTACGCAGACATAACCCACCTTGAAATGTACTCATTTCATCCTTACAGTCGTGGTGGGATGAACTACAGGGGGTAATTAAGTGCACACAGCAAGTGCCTTTTTCAACACTAGTACAAGCTACGAGCAAAATACGGTGTGGGGAAATAATAAAATAATAAAAATAAAACATAAGATAAAATTCTCACGACGTTTCGGCCACAACGCAAGCAGCCGTCCTCAGGTGAAGAACAGGGCTGTTGGAAGGACAGTGTCCTAATGAACACTGCTAAGCTTGGCAGCGTATTTTTAAGCTGGGTCGGAGGAGGAGAGAGCCTTGACAAAGGAGTTTACATATCATTGATAACGGAGTTTACATATCATTGATATATAAACTCCTTTGTCAATGCGCTCTCCTCCTCCGACCCAGCTTAAAAATACGCTGCCAAGCTTAGCAGTGTTCATTAGGATGCTGTCTTTCGGACAGCCCTGTTCTTCACCTGAGGACGGCTGCTTGCATTGTGGCCGAAACGTCGTTAGAATTTTATTTTATTATGTTTTATTTTTATAATTGTATTATTTCCCTTCTACGTGACTTTACCGAAAGAACCAATAATATGAATCCATGCAGTCACGAAAGCTTTAAATAGAAAAATAAAACACGGTGTACAAAACAAATTAATCACTTACCCAATGTCTGATACATACTTCCCCAGACTGCCAATCCTGTACGCACTTATACTTCTCTGAACAGCGGCGATTAAGGTGTGCATTTGCGTTGACAGTTCGTGCACACAAAAATAGGTTGCGTTATGCATTTCAGCAACCGCTCTGACATTCGAGGCGGTACGATCATCACTAAGCAACGTTTTATTTGTTCAGTGAAATCTGTGGAATGGGCTTTAAAAACACTATTAATCTCGTGGCAGATCAGCACAAGAAACTGGAAAGAACAAGGCCGTTGTGTCGAAGAAAGGTAAACGCCCCGAGGCAAGGGACGACAAGGACAGGCGGTCGGCAAAGCGCTCTGTCGAGACGCGGGAGCGCGCGTCCGTGCGGGAGGGTTCGACGGGGGAGATGAGCCACACCGTGGCGAGGCGGCCATCCAGCAACGACCCGGACGACGCGTGGGAAGACAGCGTGGGTGATAACGCAGAGGCACCCTCGAGAGCTGTGAGTAACACAACCGAGGCACGTGGGAGGTGGCAAAAGGGGTCGTCAAGAGCACTGAGCTAACAATGCTGAGATCCTCTGGGTTTGAATATGGCATAGCGGTCCATGATTTTAAACAAGCACTGTCATGGGATATCGAGATCCATGAGTAATGTAATGCTGAACCAATTTAATAATCCATAGGTATCACCCGAGGCGTCTTATGAGGTGGCAGGGTGTTAAGGAGGTCGGGGCACTGAGCTGGCACCACCAGGATACTGGGCATAATCTGGTGCAGCCACTCATGATTAAATTGGGCTCTCAAGTGTGAGCTGATGGCCTCAGTTGGTTCACCAATGACTACGCAAAAAAACCCATCGCGATACATTGGTTTTTCATTTCATTTAGATATATACCAGCATGTGACAATTATTAAAGTACTGTATTCAATGTGACAAACATGTCACAGCAAGTGCGCCTCCTAGTGTGTGGTTAAAATAGTTCTTGTGGGGAACGTTATCGTGCAGCGGTTCGCGCGCTGTGCTACGAACCCGGCGACACGGGTTCGGTTCCAGCTCACGGTGATCACCAGCAACGATTATCTGAACCGGTCCTGGGCCTCCCTTTTAGGTCGACTCAGCCTCAAATGAGTACCTGGCACGGTGTTTAAACATCGCCACGAGGTAGACAAAGGCGGCCGGGAGTGGTGCTGGCTTTCATAGGTGCAATTGCCCCTACAGTCTGTAAAGGCTATACGGGAGATATGTCTTTAAAATAGTTCACTGGATCGTATCTCAGTGGCAGCCCTGTAAAAAAAAACTGCTTCTGTGAGCTGTTCTCGAACACGCAGGGCTGCAGCGCTCTGAAATATTTCCAAAAAGATACTTCATCCCATGACATGACGCCGATCGCGCAAATGGATTAAAATTGGGTTTAGAGACACGTGCTGCTAGTTCCAGCCAGGCCTATCCTGGTGTAAGCAATAATATATGGGCTATCTATTTAATTAATTATGATTCGATTCCTCGATTAGTTGGACAGAAAATAGATGGGGAGAAAAACCTCGCTCTTTTCCCACGTGTGCCGCTGGACGGGAGGTGATGGGTGGGGGTGTATGATGTCTTTGGCATCATCAACTGCGTCACACTGAGCATGGGTTGTTGGGGGTGACCGCCATTTTAAACGGGGCCCCAGTAATCGGCTGCACCAAAAGTGGTCGATTATCATATTTCGTTGATTGCACAACTCTGTGGGTTAATTGTCCCAGCTCTGTTATACATGGCGGGTTGAGGGCTCTGCTGCCAACTTGTAACACCAGGGATCTGGTGCCAATTTGATTGGGTTGTGCAATTGCCAAAACTCGCGTGTTTTCTTTGGACGCAGACACCATCTTGGTCTACTGTGCGCACACACAGAAGCAAGATATTTAAATCGGGATAAAACTGTGGCAGACCCACATCGAACAGGGGATTTTATTATCTAGGATAGATGGAGGCATAATAGTCAAGAGGGCACACACAGGGTCGGTGGGGGGGAGGTCCATTAGACCAATTACGGTATTGGCACTGGCATTAAACCGCTTCGTGCAAAGGGCTTCACAGTCATGGTATATAAGTGGGTGACGTCTACGTACCAAGCTCAGTTTTCATTATTCCTGAGGTGGCCGAGTGGCTCAGGACCAGCACACCGAAGATATCCTTGTTCTTGATTTTGGGTTTCGGCCACGTGTGATTAAACCAATTACCAATGACTGCACAAACCAATCGCACGAAATTTGGGCATTTTTGGCTACGCTTAAGCCTCCACCCTTAAAAAAAACAAGTTTGACAAGTGATGACCAATTTTTTCAGAGCATTAAAAGGTGTCCCTTGCGTCGATAAAGAGGGCTACTGAAGTGGCATCAGAGGTAGGTCTGTGACGTCATCTTCTGGGTGATGCACTGCTCGCTGTAGAGTTGCAAATGATAAAAATAGGGAAAAATAAAATAAAAGCTCCGTATTTAATTTTCTATAATGGGAGCATTGCATGCAAGTTGTTATTTGTTGTTATTAGCGCGTGTGTTTTATCCTAACCGTCTGCTAATAAAAGCTCCATATTTAATTTTCTATAGTATAATGGAAGCATTGCATGCAAGTTGTTATTTGTTTGTTATTAGCGCGTGTGTTTTATTCTAACCGTCTGCTAATAAAAGCTCCGTATTTAATTTTCTATAGTATAATGGAAGCATTGCATGCAAGTTGTTATTTGTTTGTTATTAGCGCGTGTGTTTTATCCTAACCGTCTGCTAATAAAAGCTCCGTATTTAATTTTCTATAGTATAATGGAAGCATTGCATGCAAGTTGTTATTTGTTTGTTATTAGCGCGTGTGTTTTATTCCTAACCGTCTGCTAATAAAAGCTCCGTATTTAATTTTCTATAGTATAATGGAAGCATTGCAAGCAAGTTGTTATTTGTTTGTTATTAGCGCGTGTGTTTTATTCTAACGGTCTGCTTTGTTTTGATTGCACAAGGAAACGAGAATCGCAAAAGAAACGAAAACTAAAAAGTCCGAGGGCAGTACAAAAGTCAAAGTGAACGAAAATGAACGGAGTGCTTTTGTTGTAGGTGAGACATTATAAATGACTTCCAGCGCCGAGTCGCACAAGAAACGTTACACATCCCCCGTCCTGTTTTTCTTCTACGTAACTCTTAGCTTCAGCTGCATCCAGTTATGTAATGTTGGATCAACCCGTTGATACGATTCTTAAGATTATAATTATAATAGAGGCGATCATTTCAGAGGCACGTGGAACCACAGGCAAATGGCATAGGCAGCCAGGTGGTGATCGAGCACTAAATCCCCCCCCCCTCCCTGCAAGATCTGTAGTCCTCTATATATTGAGATGTTATCGGCCAATTAATGAGTGTTTACATGATGCATATGTACAGCCATTTTATCAATACACTGCTGAGTAATAGTCTTTCCACACCATGCAGATGGTAGGGGTTATACGAGGCATACTTTGCAGCACTTTTCAGTGTGGGATGAAGGAGAAGCATAGACATTGGAGCATGGTATAGAACGACGGATTTGCTGCACTGCCCTACACTGCAGCGTCAGCCTACAAAACCTGTTTCATGCATGGTGGACGCCCAACCCAAGCACCACCCAGGCTCAACATCCTACTTAGCCTCCGAGATCTGATGAGATCCTACGAGATCGTCGAAATGATAAAAATAACAGTTGTTTCTTTACGATCGCTATTCAGTGCATGTATTGCGAGTGTGAGAATCGATGTTCAAGCAATTAATCGACACTTGACAAACCGAGACGTCCCATCTCAAACGATCGCCGCACGGGCGAAATATTTTCGACACGTTTAAAGAAATGCGCGTTCACGTTCCCCCCCTTTTAGGCAAACCCAGGAAAACGAGGAAGAGCGAAGCGACGCAAAAAGGAGCCGATGGGGAAAAAGCACCACCTTCGTCAAAAAAAGAATCCGGTGGCGAGCAGAGGAGGAAGAAGTCATCGCTGCGTTCCGCCGGGCCGCCGGCAAAGGACGGCAGCAGGGAAACGGACGATCAGGACTCGGGGGGAGACGACGACTCTGCTTTCCAAGACGACGCGACTGAGCGGCATCGCCAAGGAAGAAGGGGGAGCCAAGCGCAGGCCCGCAAACTGGGCAGCCAAACGTCAGAGGACCAATTTGTTGAACCTGGCAAGGAGGTGAGGAACCCTGCTGAACAGTGCTGTGCTGTACGGCAAAACGTCGCACATTTAGCCGTTACATATCCACCCGGTCGATTAACTGACGCCCGGTGCCGTATTGTGCATGGTGTAACTGTATATAATTTTATATATATATATGTTCACATATCTGACCTTAAATTTCGATTTAAAGCTTTCGTGACTGCAGGGATTCATCTTCTTGGTTCTTTCGGTAAAGTCACGTAGAAGGGAAGTAATAAAATAAAAAAGTTAAACATAATAAAATAATTCTCACGACGTTTCGGCCACAACGCAAGCAGCCATCCTCAGGTGAAGACCAGGTCTGTCGGGGAAACAGCGTCTGACTAAACCTGGTCTTCACCTGAGGACGGCTGCTTGCGTTGTGGCCGAAACGTCGTGAGAATTATTTTATTATGTTTTATTTTTATTATTTTATTACTTCCCTTCTACGTGACTTTACCGAAAGAACCAATAAGATATCTGACCTTTTCACATATCTGCCTATATCTCAGTCCCCAGAGGCAGATATGCGTTGTAGTACTGTGCCAGATCAATCCGAGTACATAAGTAAATTAGTTCCTATCTTACAGTTACATGCTAATTTCACACATTAACATCACTAGCTCCGGCCACTCTTTATAACCCATGAGCTACACCTATTTCAAACCTTTTAAAACAGTCTGCCTCAGCAGCAAACCATGCTTTCCCACCTGATGATGGACGCTTGTGTTGCACCCGAAACGTCGTGATTTATTTAATTTTATACCTACGTGACTTTACCGAAAGAACCAAAGAGTATAAATTAGTTCCATGACGTAGTTACTCTCTTGAAGATGGTTGTTTGGAGGTGGCCTGATGGACCAAGGAAGGGTCAGCATGCTGCATCGGCACTACTCACATCCTGGGTTCGTATCCTGGCTGCCACCTGTGATTAAATTGGTTTCTGAAGTATAGGGAGTTCATGGACTCAGCAATGACTGCACAATACAACTGTCACGTGATATTGACTTTGTTTTTACTTTTATTTCGCCACGTTCCATCTGTTACTGATGTTTTTTCCGTGTCGTTTCTCTCCATTCTAGTGGCGCCCTCTGCACTCCCTTCAGTCCATATTTTCTCTCAGGCACACATTCTGCCTCTGTTGCCTTCCACTCGTGTTGCCATCCACTCGTGTTGCCATTGCTTTGCATGATTCTCATTTGATGCCATTATCAGACTCAATATTTAATTTGAGCTGGTTTGACCAATTTAGCAAACGAGCCCTTTTAGACACGGCTAGTACCGTAGCAGTTTGCATTCTTCTTTTTTTATATATCATTGTTATTCTTCATCCATATTTTTTTCAATATCGGGTGAAACCACTTCTGTTATGCTACAATTATTTTCACTTGAATTTTGGGCAAAACACAACTACGTGGCCAAAAAAAAAAAATTGCGATCATAGTATTAGCCACAAATATATATTTTTAATATTATCGTTTGATATGGCTCCTCCAACAGGGTCGTCTGTTGGAGAAGCCACACACAGCTGAACACTTGAGTACCGTCACTGGCAGTGCACAATATCGTTTGATATCGTTCTGAATGGAACTTGGTAAAGCGCCGTCCTGTACGATCCACCTTGCTGGTCTCGCCAAAGAACGTAAACCTTTAAAGGGAACTCCTCGAAGCAACCGCTTTTGGCTCGCCATTGAACAACAACGGTCAGAGCAACGGTCAGCGCATCTGAAAGCACGCGATGCGGCTCTCTGGAATGCTCTTCTTTTCGATTTTAGGAAGCCACTGGAACATATGCACTTTAAAATCATCTAGATTGAAAACGCCTTTCTTTGAAACTGCTTTTTGTGTTCAGTTTGTTGTGCTTCCGCTGCACCTCTGATTAGCACGGTAGGCGACGTGTGAAAGAAGTTCGGTACATTACATACACAGAGGCTAAGCCTACGCTGTCCAAATCGAGCAGCTGAGCGACTCGAACCGCGTGCGTGCGCGAGCGGCAGCCGGGGTCGGACGGGCGATCGCCGGCCTTGTCGGAGCGCGAGGCTCGGCGGGCGGCGCAAGCGGAGCAACGGCGGCTGGAGGTCGAACGGCGGCGGCAGGAGAGCGAGTCGCAGCGGCTCCATGAGCTGGAGCAGCAGGACAGGGAGGAGGTCATGAGGGCGGAACTGGAGGAGGCACGGCTCCGGCGTGAAGAGGAGGCGAGGTGGGTGAGGGGGACGGGACTGACTGCACCGCACAGGGCCCGGCTCTCACTGCTGGCACCAAGCTAATACTGCAGCCGTGACAGCACGGACAATATGTGCAGCATTGCTGTGCGGCTACACAATTACGTTTAAAAGGAGGAAATTGTATGATGGTAAAACAAGAGTTATTTGTCCTCCTACGTACGCAGCCCGCCTGTACTTTCTGTACACTCGGCCAGTGCGTACTTTTACATAATCAGCCAATATGTTGTCTTTCCCCCACTACGTATGGTGTGAAAGAAGTTCAACATACAATATGTACTCTGACATACGTATCCAGTGCATTCTCCAACTTTAACCAGTACATACTCGTACACATTCAGCTCGCGACATAGTCTCACACCTCTTTTTCCCATTGCACAACCCCAGCCATGCCAAGCTAGCTCCGAACAGCTTAGGAGGTGCCATGATGTTTTTTTCCGCGTTAGTTAGTTATATCTTCTTGGTTTTTTCGGTAAAGTCACGTAGAAGGGAAGTAATAAAATAATAAAAATAAAACATAATACAATAATTCTCACGACGTTTCGGCCACAACGCAAGCAGCCGTCCTCAGGGGAAGAATGAAGCACCGCCAAGCTTGGAGCGTATATTTAAGCTGGGTTAGAGGGGGGGAGGTGGGAAGAAGAGCGCCTAAACAAAATAATTTGCATATCAAGAGGAAATTATTTTGTTTAGGCGCTCTTCTTCCCACCTCCCCCCTCTAACCCAGCTTAAATATACGCTCCAAGCTTGGTGGTGCTTCATTCTTCGCCTGAGGACGGCTGCTTGCGTTGTGGCCGAAACGTCGTGAGAATTGTTTTATTATGTTTTATTTTTATTATTTTATTACTTCCCTTCTACGTGACTTTACCGAAAAAACCAAGAAGATTAATCCCTGCAGTCACGAAAGCTTTAAATCGAAAAGTTAGTTAGTTAGTTAATCCTCTTCATCCCCTATGAGACATGAGGCCACAGTGAGTTCCCTCCACTTCTTCCTGTCCTTGGCAACATGTTGAGCCTCACCCCAAGAGAGGTTGATCACTGCTACCAGCTCGTCCTACGCTGTCTTGCGCCGCGTGGCCTCGGGTCTCCCAGGTTTCCTTTTGCCCGGTGGTGCCCATCTTAGGGGCAATATTTTGTCCTAGTTCATTCTGAGTACATGTCCGAGCCATCTGAGTCACCGTCCCTTGATATTTTTTTTTTCCACTACAGAACCAGAACTGTGATGTCGGCCTGCCGCTGCCATCGCACGCAATAAGCGATTTGAAACGCATCTAGGTGACGCGGTTGCGCTGCTCGAGTTGTCGCGACGTCGCACACAACGGACGGGTCGTTAGCCCTGTGTCTGGGGCCCTGCCTTTGCCTCAAACCAGATTCAATTGTTTTGAGGCCAGCATAACGTGGACTTGGTACTGACACATAGCCAGTGGAAAGCCACCTGTACCACGATGGCGCAGTGACCACGCGGCCTGGATGTGCCAGTGACGAACGAATAGGGTATGAACAATAGTTAACCAGCGCATACTCAAACTTATCGTCAAAACTTTTGGCCATGTGTTCAGTTTTGACGAGCTAAGTGAGCTATTTGCCAAATTGCCCTTTCCCCCCTCCTTGTCCGACTCAGGCAGAAGAAGCTGCAGCAGGAGCTGGAGCGACTCAAGGTGCAGGAGCTGGAGACGAAGCGGATGGAGCGCGAGCAGGCTGAGCGAGAGCGTGAGCGCCGGCAGCAGGAGGAGCACCGTCGCAGGGTGCTCGAGATCCAGCGCAGGAAGCAGGAGGAGGAGGCCCTGAAGAAAGGTGAAAGCCTCGCACCCTCTCTCTCTTTCTCTCTCTCTCTCTCCTGTATCGAGCACATTAACGAAAACTAAACTATTTTTTATTTTACCAGGTAAGGCCCACTGAGCTGTATAGGTCTTTTTCAGAAGCTACCTGGCCACAAATTATAGCTGAACGCAGTGGCTTATCGTGCGGAAATTTACAACAGCCAAATACTCTAAACGCATGTTCATTCTAAATGGAGGGAAAAACCAGAAGACCTGGAGAAATATCCACACGACCATGGGGAGAGAGACATGCAAACTCCAAATATACAGACGTCAGGGTCGGGATCGAACTCACGACCTTCTGTATACCAGGTGAGGTAGTTAACATCTTACCACCAACATGGCGGGTGAAGCATTGTCAACGGATACCTCTGCTGATCGACCTTGCCACGCACGTTGCTGATTGGTGGATCGTTTGCGGCGAGGTATAGTGTGGGAATTCTTATCTCTTCTAATCGGTGTTACTCTTATAATGATACAGCAGTGGGGGGCTGGAGCAGTGGTGCAAATGTTAGCGCACCCCATGTCTCACATCAATGATCACGTGTCACGTCAATGGCAAGCAAAATCTAAACCCATCCTGGGCCCCAGCCCCCTTCACCATTCGAAATTTACCAGTGGAACAAAGAACCCCCGTATAGCCTTTAGCAGACTGTTGGGGCAAGTGCTGTTAGCGAGCACCTATGAAGGCCGGAACGGTACACGAGGGGGTGGATGGCCAGCACCACGCCCGACCGCCTTTGTCTCCCTAGTGGCAATGTTTACACACCACACCAGGTACTCATTTGAGGCTGAGTCGACCTAGGGGAGGCCCGGGACCGGTTCAGATAATCGTCACCGGTGTTGGCCGTGAGTGGGAATCGAACTCGTGTCGCCGGGTTGATAGCGCAGAGCGCTAACCGCTGCACTATCGCTCCTCACGGCCAAACAGAGTGTAAGAGCACGGTCACACCGACACTATCGAACACCGCACGAACGAACCGGCAATGTCGGCGCACTCTCATCTCCGAATTTCAGCCGAGCAAGAGCGGCTGGAAAGAGAAGAGGCGGAGCGGCGAGCCGAGGAGGAGCTGATGCTGTCGCAGATGGACGAGTCGGAGCGGCTGGAGTACGAGCAACGGAGGCGGAAGGAGGAAGAGCATAGGAGACTCGCGGAGGAGCAGAGACGCAGGGTGATGGAGGAAGAGGCTCGTCTCGCCATGGAGGAGGCGATGCGACAAGCCCACTTTCTGGCCAAGTGAGATCCGCGCATCTCTGCCGGGGAACTGCTTCACAAAAACTCAACGCATTTGCCAATAACGCTGCACAAGAGAGGAAAAATTGCGGGATAGAGAACGTTTCTGGCAATGGGCCCTTCTTCGTAGCGGAAATGTCATTGGTTATATAGTTTTCCTTTTGAGGCAGTGTTGTTGACGAACGTGTTGAGTCTGTGTTTATTGTGCTTGTGCACCCACTGCCAATGCAGCACTGCCAATGCAGCATCACCAAATAATGTATTCAATACGATAAAAGTGGTTTTAGAGAGTCATTATTTCCTACACTTGATGATATGATTTTTTTTTTAAAGAGACATAACACAGCGTGACATTTTAATTTCTGAGCACTGGTAATATTTGATGAACACGTCCAATATTATAAAACCTTGTTTAACGGTTGAACCCAGTGGCTTTCGACTGAAAGTCCAATTAGGCAGCCTATGGACAGCAGCAGCTCCAAAAGGCTTCATAAATCAATAAAACGCACCGGATCAAAGATTACACATTTAACGAGCATGAATGTGACCAATTGCGCAACCAGTGAACAAACCAATGAGGAGCCACGACCGTGTTTAAATCACGTGGCCAGCGTTTCTTTTATGGCTCCCTGACCCGACGTCGTGAAAACCTCTTTACAGGCAGCAGGCGGAGCTGGAACGCCACCTCATGTTCCACCGTGAGCTGTGGCTGGAGACGAGCGGGATGGAGCAAACGCAGGACGTGTCTCGGCCGTGGGTCTACTCGTACTATGAGCTCCTGCAGATGCTGGGGCTGCAACGACCAGAGCTGGAAGCAGGGCAGCACGTTGACTGAGCCGCTAAAGGTCCCACCGACAGGGAAATGTCATATCCTGGGTCTCACAGGCCGAATGCCCGTCCATGGTTTTATTTCATATGACCCATCGGTCACATGGCCTACCATTTCGAAACGGCCCGCAAACCATATGTATCCATTACTACAAGCATCTTATCGCACTAATCCGGCACCAGAAGGGAATATCTTTGACCTCGATACACCACCGTGTTTCTAATTTTAGCATCACACTCAGGAACTTCATGAGTGTACAGGGTGGTCCAGATGTCGTGACCCACACCGTGAGGAACCATGGTGGCTAGGAGCTGTTGACTACCTCGCCTGGTATACAGGAGTTCGTGGGTTCAATCCCTGACCCTGATGCCTGTATATTTGGAGTTTAGATGTTCTCCCCGTGGTCGCGTGGCTTTTTATTCAGGTCCTCTGGTTTTTCCCTCCACATTTAGGTACATGCATTTCGAGTATTTGGCTGCTATACATTTTCACGCAATAATTAACTTTGTTGAGCTATCATTTGGGGGCATGTCGCTTCTGAAAAAGTTATATAGCTCAGTGGGCCTTACCTGGTAAAATAAAATAAGCAGTTTAAACAGAGCTGCTGTGTGGCCTGCCAAGTGAGTTTTGATGTCCCATTCCACACTTGGATAGGAAAATGTTCCCCCACCCCTGCCATTGAAACGTGGTCACTAATGGTTGCTCACTTTCACCAACTGCAGCTTCAGTGGTTCAACAAATTTCATCGAATTGTCAAATTGAGTTAACGTTCCATGTGTACTCGATAGGGTAACAGTCGATTTTAATATAAAGCATCACAGCACTTAAATCTACATATGCGTTCATTGCTAATAGCCCATAAAGCTAACATACTGGCATATACAGTACATGCAATGTTAATAATTAGTAGTTGAAGCCATTTTTATAAATATAGGATGTTCATATTTTGGGTTGCTTCACGAAGGTTGTAACTGCCAAAAATGTTGCTTAGAACCTTTTTGGAGTACCTCAAGAAGGGTAAAGCTGTTTTGTAGCTTGTTTGCACTAATATATTCTGATTCAAAGCAAATGCTGAAACATATTCTTAGTATTTCCAATCTACGGTGTTTTACTGCATAGTGGTATTCGTAGATCATTGTTGTCGGTAGATTACCGAGTGAGCTCATGTGGTGGAGCATGAAATAAAAGGGAGTGCCAGAGATATAAATCCATCTGATAAGACTTGTACCGTAAGACTGGAAAATCCAGGTACAAAGGGTGTACACAGTGCAGTTGTCAGTAAAGGTTGGAGTCCATAACGGTTCTTTAGCGAGTCCACTTAATTCTAGATTTGAAGCTTTCGTGACTGCAAGGATTCATATTCTTAGGTTTTTTCGGTAAAGTCACGTAGGTAAAAAATTTTAATTAATAAAAGTAAAATAAAAATAAAAATCACGACGTTTCGGAGGCAACACCTGAAGACGGAAGCTTGATTTTTATTTTTATTTTACTTTTATAAATTTTTTACCTACGTGACTTTACCGAAAAAACCTAAGAATATGAGTCCACTTAAACTTCTCATGGTGCTGGACATGCAAGAAACATTCTAAAAGAAGCACTCTGTTGTTGTATGTCGTTGGCATATGATATAAATGCTATGTGGGGAGACGAAATACATGGAAAATTACTTGGAGAATTAGCGAATATGTAGAGTAGATCCAAGAGGGAATGTGGTAAGTGGCGCTGTTCATGAAGCTAAAATTGATAGGAAACAAGCAAAGGTGGTTTCGGTCACGCAGAAAAGGAAGCGATGAGTAGGTTGCAACAGGAAGTAGAAATTGCTGGCAGTAGAGAGCAGGATGGATGATAACAGCGAGGACATGGAGGCGTTTAAGAGTCAGTGGGGCAAGCGCTGGAGATGGATAAGAATGTAAAGGGGACAAAGGCAGACCTCAAACACTTGTGATCGATGCCAGCAATGAGTTGGTGTTTTACCTATCAGTAAACAATCATTTTGGCACAAACTCTATGTTTTAAAATAATTACTGGAATTTAGAAATATGCATCCTATTATGAGATTATAACCGTACACAACTGTATTATTGCAGGTTTCTTTGTTGATCCAATTACAAAATACACAGTATACACAAAATACACAGAATTTTGTTTGGTAATAATTTAAAAATCTAGAGAAAAATTCAATCAATTATTCTTTGCAAACTGTGCCAAGGGCATGTTTCACCCATCAAATATTTTTCAATTGCATAACGATGTCCAATTACAGGTGGGAGATTCCTGCTGGCTTCTGTGAGCTGTTCTGACACATGGGGCACACCGCTCGGGTGAGATTTCCAAATCGATTATTTATCTGGCATTAAGATGGCTTAATTGAAATAAATTTGGCGGGAAAATTTGCAAAGCCTCCAGTCATAATGCTCCCCAGTGAAATGTTTGAAATTCTCAGCTAAATTCAAATACATATAAGAACATGAAGACACATGAACATTGACCAAACATTTTATTTAAGTTGAAAAAATTCACAGCTACTAGTTTCCTTTGAAAATTACTGCTTCAGCACAAAACCTCTATTCTGAGGGTTATTTTCAACGCAGCTTTGCTCAAATAACACGGAAACCAAGTCGTAAATATAGCAAATATTTTACGACAAATGTTTTCAAGTCTGGCATCTCATCTGCAAATTAACCGATGCGTCAATATTAAAAGAATTCCAGTACACCGACTCTGATGTTCATTTCTCAGTCAGGATGCATCCGGCTGCAGCCTTGTGAACTTTGCCTGAAAATTACACTTGTTGCTGTTCAAAATGTTGATGCCGTGCTTCTCAAAGTCATAGCCAACGCTCTGGAGGACTTGCAAGCGGTGGCTCAGCGTCTTCAAACTGAACTCCAGGCAACGCGGCCTCTCCAGCACCTGGTGGATGGTGATACCCGAGGCCAGCAAGCAACGCAACTTCTCCAGCAGATTCTCCAGGGAGAAGTAGAGGAAGTAGGAGTACTTCTTGAAGAACACCTTCACCTCCTGGTCGTTGCAGCCTTGCTTAAGGCACTCGCTCCAGAAGGCCTCGAGCTTCCTCTTGAGGCTCTCGCTGGACATGTCAAGCGCGTCGGTGCTGTTCGCCGTCAGGAAGCCGAGCAGCTCCTTGTCCGTGAGCTGAAGCCGCTTCACCAGGAACTCCATGTTGGTCTTGACCCGTTTGGTGCTACGGATGAGGATGTACACGTTCCGCGAAATGATCTGCGCGAGGGGTAAAACGAATTTGTGAGTCCACAGCGTTTAGAACGAATGTGCACAGTACCATGAAGAACCATCGAAAATCTAACTTAGTCCATTGAAAATTTCTCTCAACTACTATTCAGCGTAAAAATAAATATAAAAGGTAAAAACACAGCTCTTAGTAGTTACTGGAGATACTGTATAGTACTCTGGCATTTATGTGCAGCAAGGAGATGCGGCTAACAAGTCAGTCCTTGCTTTTGCACGCTGTCCCATTTTTATCTTTAAGGCATGTGATTTAAAAACGAATTCCAATTTTAATTCAATCTTTAGGGGTTCCCTCCTTAAAAACAACATCCCAATGCAGGAACCTCCTAGAAAGAGCCTTGAGACTCAGATCGTCCTGGGTCAGTAAACTCAAAATTTATAAACAACAAAAAGACTCAAACCTGTTGCACAAAAATGTCGGGATCGCCACCTCCCAGCGAGACGCAGGTACATTTCAAAAAGTCCACCATTTGCTTGTTGAGCTCCGGGGTGTTGGATAACGCCCTGGGCGCGGTGGAGAAAATGCGCAAAATGTCCTTCTTGGCGAGCCCCAGCGACGTGAAGTACTCGATGTTTTCCGCCAACGTGGCGTTGTCCGAGGAACGGAAGAAGGCCTCCGGGGAGCGCATGACGATTTTGAGGACGTCTCCATCGGAGTTGAAGAATTTTCTCCACAGCGTCCACCGCTCCTCCAGGTGTTCGGCAGAGCGGCTGAGGGAGCGCGGATACCTGCACACGATGCTGGCCACCACCTGCTGAGAGGCCCCTTTGCCCTTGAGGAAATCGATCAAGTCGACGCTGCCTTTCAGCTTCTTCAGAACGCCGAGTGCCTGCCTGTGGAGTGCGAGATCCACTCCAAGGTCGTCCAGCTTCTGCATCATCTCGGCGGAGGGCTCCGACACACTTGCGCGGGCCGCGGGATGACTGGTTGCTTGACAGCAGCGAACCTGCCCCTTCCCGCACACTTCAAGGTGGCCGATTGCTTTCGAGAGGGTACGGGGTACCACCCAGCCATTTTGTAAATGGGTCGTTTGTACTTTTAGGTAGAAGAAGCATCCTTGTGCCACGATTCTCCTCACGTGAAAGGGCTGCCTGCCGAGCATGTCTGACGCATCAGAATCCTGTTGGAAGACAGAACCCACAGCGCATTAGAAAACATGGACACATCCGTTACCAGGTGAGTTTACCCGATATGTTTTCTAGCCCATTTGACGCCTGGGTAACCATTAGTGGTTTTCACATTTTGTAATGGCCCAGACTGCACAAAGTGGCCAATTCGTTTTAACCTGATTATTTAATTTAACACGTAGGATTTCGCGACTGATATTATCCATAAGAGGTTTTTAGGTTAGATCGCGTAGATATAAATGTGTAGTTAAACCCACCACCACCCGACACAGCCAATTAGTAAGGTTTGTCACTTAAACAAAACATGCCAAATCGTTTACAAGTTCAGCACATCGGTGTGTTGGAGAATAAACCCACAACATCCTGTTGTTTTGGAGAGTAAACCCAAATAAATTGTGGTGTTTTGGAGAGTAACACAACATTGTGGTGTGTTGGAGAGTAAACCCACAACATCCTGTTGTTTTGGAGAGAAAACCCACAACACCGTGGTTTTGGAGAGTAAACCCATAAGATCGTGGTGTGTTGGGAGAGTAAACCCACAACATTGTGGTGTGTTGGAGAGTAAACCCACAACATTGTGGTGTGTTGGAGAGTAAACCCACAACATTGTGGTGTGTTGGAGAGTAAACCCACAACCACGTGGTGTGTTGGAGAGTAAACCCACAACATCGTGGTGTGTTGGAGAGTAAACCCACAACATCGTGGTGTGTTGGAGAGTAAACCACAACATTGTGGTGTGTTGGAGAGTAAACCCACAACATTGTGGTGTGTTGGAGAGTAAACCCACAACATCGTGGTGTGTTGGAGAGTAAATCCACAACATTGTGGTGTGTTGAACTCGTAACGAATTGGCCCGTTCTGTTTACGTGACAAATCTTACTTAATTGGCTGCCGTCGGCTGGTGGCGGGTTTAACGACACAATAATATTTACGCGTTCTAACCCAAACAAAACCTCTTGTGGACAGCGTAACGTTGATGTATTACAACGTAAGCCGTGGTTGCATAACAACACAGCACCGCATAATGTACAGAGTGACACATTTGCCAATAATCAGTCTCGAGATGATTAAACCGACACCTGCATCGCACACACGAATCGCGGCTGGACTCTGTACTCACCAACGCGAGTCGCCCCACCGCACACCGAATCGATCCCACTCGCCCACAAAAACTGCAATTGAGAAATATCCCAAAAAACGGGGCTTTAATAACGACGCCGATCAGAGGTTAAGCACCCGGCGATCACAACAACAACAACAACCACCACCAGCACCACAAAGCAACGATACATTCATGGAGCAAAACGAATTCGGCGGGCACTTTAGGAACGAACCCCTCTCAACAACGTTAAGGGGTAAAAATAAATGAACGCGGCGCATTTGGGGGACGCACATGGGGACACCGCGCGCACGTGTCTACGAACTAGATCCGGGGCACGCACGTGGCCAGTTCACGGCCACCCGCCCGCCCCCATACAAAGACAAAGGTCCCCTGGGTAGCCTGCAACAGACTATCCGGGGGGGTTGGGGGGGGTAAGTTGATAAGTAGCGTGCAGACAGCGTCTCTGAAAGACCCCGGGCCACTTGTTGGCACACGAGACATCGGGGTTGGTTTGGGTGGCCGTGACAAACCGAGCCCTGTCGACTTTGAGTCTCTTGCCCCGGTGGCGATGTTTACTGCACAGCGCAGCAGGTCAACTGCATTTGAGGCTGAGTTGACCTAAGGAGGGGGGGGTGGGTAGGAGGCCCACAGGGACCCGGTTCAGATGTTCGTCACTGGTTGTTTGGCGACTGTGAGCGGGATTCTAACTCTGGTCGGCTGCGTTCGGAGCACGTTGAGTCTGCCGCTAACCGCTGCGCCACCGCTCCCCCCCATCGTCGCCCCGCCCCCAACATCGCCCCACCCACCCCAACATCGCCCCGCCCCCCCCAACATCGCCCCGCCCCCAACATCGCCCCGCCCCACCAGCCCCTCCCACCCGGCCCCCCAACATCGCCCCGCCCCACCAGCCCCTCCCACCCGGCCCCCCAACATCGCCCCACCCACCCCAACATCGCCCCGCCCCCAACATCGCCCCGCCCCCAACATCACCCCGCCCCCAACATCGCCCCGCCCCCCCCAACATCGCCCCGCCCCACCAGCCCCTCCCAACCGCCCCCCCAACATCGCCCCGCCCCCCAAAATCGCCCCACCCCACATCGCCCCGCCCCCCCCACCCCTCAACCAACCGCACCGCGCTTCATATTCCCCGTGACGTCACGAGCCTTCTCCGCGCATGCGCAGTGGGGTCGCGGCACTCGTGTGTAACACGTGGGGAGTTTTTGTGTGCGCGGGACCGCAGCAGCAGCAGCGACGACGGCGGCGCTTTCAGAAGCCGTCGAAAGTTTGTAACGTCGCCGCTTTTGCAACGTTCCAAAAACGCAGCGACAATGCTCGTCCTGTTCGAGACCGCGGCGGGCTATGCCATCTTTAAGGTAAAAAGCGTCCGCTGTACCAGAGTGTGTTTTTTGCGCGAAAGAAAAAAAACAAAAATTAAGGCCTAAATTTTTGGCCTGACACGTGGTTGCAAGTTGGCCGAGGGGCCTTCCTGCGGCCTTCGCTCCACGTTGGCTGGCGGGTGTTCTACGCGAGGGCTCTCCCCGTTGGTGGCAGCGGCCTTCGCCCGGCCGACAATCGCGGTCTGCTGCGGCTTGCCCCCTACGCCGATTACCCGATCGCGTTGACGGCGGAATGAACGCGGCCTAAGCCGAAACGTGGTCCCCCCCCCACCCACCACCGCAATGCCGTTATGCGTTGGAATGTCTCCCGTCTCTTCTTGCCCTGGCCCCCCCTCCCACTGCCCCACCTAGCATAGCTTGTTCTTTGGTGATGTTGCGTAGTTTATGTGCGGTGCTTGTTGAATTTTTTTGTACAATCGCAATGTTTTACTGATGATGCTAGTTGCAATTATTGGCGCGATGTCGTACTTGGATTGTTAATTTTGTGGATTTGCACTCCCAGGCACACCGGGGTGCTGTAGTAGTAACGATTTGACACGTTATGTTTACGTAACAACCCTTAATAATTGGCTCTGTCGGGTGGTGGCGGGTTTAACGACACATTTATATTTACGCGATACAAACCCCATAAAACTATGGATGATGTCGGTCGCGAAAGTCATTTGGTACAAATATCTGATCCTGCTTATGAGAGCTCGAATGAAGTTTCGAGTTTGCTTAAAGAAATATCCATCAACTGTTGAAATCCACTGCTGGATGATGAAGAACTCTAGACGCCAGCTATCTCACGATTCTGCGATGTAATCCCAACGAGAGCACCTGCTGGCACACGCTTTGATTCCAACGCTCCATCTCTCGCCTGAGACGGGCGCGTTCCCATTCATTGTCTTTAAAAAATTAACCCGTAAAAACAAAGTTTTTCACTATAAACCCTTTATATGCGTGGCGGCTAGAGTCCTCTCGTCCTCTGGCTTGAGATGGCTGCCACCTATGGGTCAGATGATTGCCTGCCACCATTAAGCAATTGGTAATTAAATATAATTTATTTTTTCCTAAACAGTGTAACATTTTGGGGGAAAAATTCACGAAAATAAATTGTCACGCACAACGAGTCTGTGTGCAAAATGTCAGCTCGATTGGATCACGGGAAGTGGGTTAAAAAACGACCGAAAGATTTGCACGGGCGGAAGCAAGTAAGCAAGTGAACTTAATATAAAGGATTTAAAAATGCAGGACCGATATTGGGTCTGGAGACTGTAAGGGGTTTTTGCTCGGATAAATATGTTGTAGGTTCTGGTGAAGAACCCGGCGTGTTTTAACGAGCGAGCGCCAAACCTCTAGCTTTCATCCTCTTGCCACGTGCTCAGGTGCTGGACGAAAAGAAGATCCAGGAGGCGGACAACATCTGGAAGAACTTCGAGACGGCGGAGAAGGCGAATAAGATGTAAGAACCGTGGAGAGAAAAGTGAATAATAGCTGTAAAGTTTAGCATCGATTTTTATACTTAGAGTAAGATATGCAGCTGTGAATCCGCCTTGAAAGTACAGTACAGGGTGGTGGTCTAGATGTCTTGTGACCCCATCCCCCAATTAATTGACCCCAAAACATGTTATTCCCTTTGCATATTAATCTAAATAAACTTTACCTTTTAAAAATATTAAGTTTATAATAAGTGGGGGGGGGGGGGGGGTCACAAGACATATGGACCACCTTGTACAGCGCTTGGAGTACCAATTGATTGATCTGACCTGCCTCTTCGATAGTAAACTTTTCCGGGACCACGATTCTGTTTAATGGATTTGTACTTTTACATTGGGCATATATAGGTGAATAGCGGTTGGAAAGATATTTTTTTTAGATTGGTGGTAGTTCGCAAACTCAATGATTCAAATCGAGTCTTAAAACCACTAAACGTGCATGGGATTGTGTTATAGGGTCTGTTTTAAATTAATGTTAGAATAGTAATTGGCCTCCCCGTGCGTTCTGAATAAGACTAATCGACCGAAACGTTGCAAACTATATACTTTTTCAAGGCAGTTTAAGTGACGAATGTGAGGATTTTACGACCCGTTAATGGTTTACATAAGGTACTTTTACAATGCAAAAAGAGTGTCATGTAATAGACAAAGTAAGGGAATCTACCAAGGATCGTTACATCTCATTTAATCGCGTGTCTTAAGTGAATTCAGTCTCTTTTTAAAACACTTAAATCTATAGAATACTCAAGAGATGGTTGTGTAGAATTTCGTTTGTATCGACCATGTAAATTACCTTTTATGTTCATTCCTGTGTTGATTTTTTAATCCAGGTCTCCTTTGCAATATCAGTCTCTCACCTAGCTATACTGTACATAGTAAAACATAATTCATAAATGGAATAGTGATGGTACCATGCTCTCAACTGGCTATACATAGTAAAACAGAATTCATCAATGGAGTAGTCATGATTACTCTTAAGGTGCTGGAGTATATAAAACTAGTTACTTGGTCTAGCTACTCCATCCACCCTGTTGAAATGCCACTGTTGTCTGGTCATACGCTGGATGATTTTTATTTTTCCCCCCCACTTGTAAACTTTGTGCAGCGTCAAGCTGAAGCACTTTGAAAAGTTTAAAGACACAACAGACGCGCTCGCAGGTGAGTGATCCTCGTGTGAGGCCACTGGCTTTGGACAACGGTCTTTGAATTTGTACAATTTAGCCAATTTTTTTTTACACTGCTCGCAAACTGTTGTCGATGATGCATGAATTTATAGACTGAATGCAAAGTGATGCACGATTTATTCGTCACTACCACTGAGACAACAGAACAATGACGTTATGTTCATGCCCATGCACAGTCTTACGTACAATAACGTCATGTCTTTTTCCCAGGAAAAAAAACTAATCGGTTTTTAAGACTATTTTCAGGAAGGTTTTTGCTTGAAGATATAAGTCTGACCACATCCGTCAATTAATACAGGGTGCTTCAAAAAAATGTTAACTCTTGTATGGGACTCGTTTTTCATGGAAGAAGAACGGATAATACACTGTAACATAACAATTGTATGTTAATAGCTTCACAAAGTCCCCACTTGTTCGCCATCATTGTCAACGCGTGCCTGGAATCTTCTCCAGGTGGTCTCCAGAGCCCGGAGGCACATTTCTTGTGGTATTGTTGCAAATTCTCGGAAGTGTTAACATTTTTTTGAAGCACCCTGTATTTTACATCTTAGAGTAAACCACAGTACCCGGAGAAAACCCTCAAGGTGCTCCACATTGCCCTCCAGCCATCTGGCCACGTCCCCATCCTAAGCCTTGCAACGCCTGCTGTTCTCTGGCAGTCTCCCATCTAAGCACCAAAAACACTTGGACCTGCTGAGCTTTGAAGAATTGATGATGTGGGCTGCTTTTAGAATGATATGAGGTGATTGCAATTGTATTCAGGGCATAATACAATTCTGCATAAGTGAGTGACGTATTATTCAGAAGAACAATTCACTTTAATGCCATTTCCATGGAGTGTATTGCCTCAGAAGTGACTTGGTACGTTGAATAATTATTTAGGAGACGCATAGCAGTGTCTGACTGGGTTCTGCCAAGTGTAAACGCCGCTGTAGTTGACCGGGCGTCAGAGGTCGCAACCGGGTACCCGATACCCGTACCCTACCCGATACCCGGCTACCCTTACCCGGCCGGGTACGGGTAGCCGTTTGCGACCCTGGTGTGGCTGGGTACGGGTAGGCCGTGAGTCACTGGTGAGTGGCCGTTTGTCACTCATTTCGGGTAGGGTACGGGTAGGGAACGGCTACCCGTACCCGGCCGGGTACGGGTACCCATTTGCGACCCTGGTGCGGCCGGGTACGGGTAAGGAATCAAAACCCGTTTGCGACCTCTGCCGGGCGTCTCTCTGCAGCTGCCACAGCGGCGGTGGAAGGGAAGGTGGGGAAAGCTCTGAAGAAGATGCTCAAAAAGCTGGTGGCGAAAGAAGCGCATGAGCAGCTGGCAGTCGCCGATGCCAAGCTGGGAGGAGCCATTAAGGTAAGGATTCAACAACCATACTTAATCATGGGACCTCCTTTGCCAGTAGCAAAATATACTAATAGGGTTTTTCCCCTTTTTTCTGGCAACAAAACTGACACCTTTTGCAAGGAATCATGCTTACATTAACCACAATACTTGCAGTCAAATGCAAACAAAAAACAATGCTCTGATGATTTATGCATTGTCTTTGAAACTGATTGGTCCACACCAGAGACAGCTTTCTTTAGAGTCTCGTCTCATATAAATTATCAGAGTATTGTTTTTTGTTTGCATTTGACTGCAAGTATTGTGGTTAATGTAAGCATAATTTCTTGCAAAAGGTGTCAGTTTTATTGCCAGAAAAAAAGGGGAAAACCCTATTAGTAAACCATACTTAATTTGAACTTTCATTGCTGGTGAAATTAAAACTAGTCTATCCCTCTTGCCTGGTTCATTGCATTTTTTTTTTTAATTGTGGGTTGTCGATCATAGGCCAAAAATGGCAAGCGGCCAGCAATGCATGGTACGATCAAAGGTGTAATAGATTATTGGTCAAACACATTTAATGTCTTGAGTAAGGGGATATAAATCTTGCGAAAAAGATGATGGGAGGGAAGTCCAGGTGACATCGTTCCTGGTGTCGATCAACACTCGGGAAGGGTGCTTTTAAAACGTTACATCTGAAATATCGAATTGAACGTTGCCAATGATGCATCACATTTCCATCTGATAACAAATGCAGAATCTATTGGAAATTCGTCACTACCTCTGAGGCAACTGTCAAAGTAGCTGTTACTCCGGGTGCTTTGATGTCCTTTTCTTTGTGGTGGGTGGGATTTCAGCTGGGAGGAGGTCCCGTGTAACCGGCACTATTGTTCTACTTGGTTTCAGGACAAGTTGAACATGAGTTGTGTTTACAACACGGCGGTGACGGAGCTCATGAGAGGCATCCGCTCGCAGATCGACAGCCTGATCACGGGCCTCCATCCACGCGAGATGAGCGCCATGTCCTTGGGTCTTGCGCACAGGTACCAGACCCATGAGAGTCACAGCTCTGTTAATGTCTATCAACAGACCTCTTTACTTCTTTATAGCCACAAATAAATAAAATGTTTTAGCATATTAGCCTTCCAGACCAATGTAGCCCAGCAGCATTTGTTTAAGCAAGCAAACTCTGGACCGGTTTTAGCCTTCTAGGTCTCATCTTGTTAAACAAGTTGGCAATAGCATTCTATGTAAACATTTGGGTGCTTTTTTAATTGAACAGTAGGTCACACCGGTCCAGAGTTTGATTGCTTAAACAAATGCTGCTGGATAATATTGGTCTGCAGGTTTGTATTCCTTAATGAGCAGTTAACGAATGTGAACGTTTTTTTGTGATGACAAGAGGTGTAAATGATTCGATGATTTTGCTCACAATGTCTCTTTGTAGAGTTCTTTGACCGCACGTTGTGTGCCTTTAATGTACCCTGCTGGCCGATGATGATGCTCATACGATAACCTGACTTAATCCTGAAGGTTTATCAGTCACTACCTCAACTGAGGCCTGCTTTTTTACTGTAGGGGAAAAGATCGTGTAAAATTCGTTTTAATGGATTTGTATGTTCATAGTTCATCCACTAAAGGTGCTATAATGCACCACAATGTTTACATATTTGTTTTCATTTAATTGACTTGTAACAATTCAACTGATTTGGAGGATGGCGAGTCGTTATAGGTCTAATGATAACGAGCTCGGGAAATGAATGAAGATGTTCTGGCCGCTCGCAATTTTAGCTGTATTCTAAAGCAGTGTATATAACAAATAATCTTGCTTTGGCTTTTCAGGAACGTTTCCTGCATGTCCCCCTAATGTCTGATTCTTTTCACATTTTATTGTCAGCTTATCACGGTACAAGCTCAAGTTCAGCCCGGACAAGGTGGACACGATGATTGTCCAGGCCATATGTAAGTGATACCATGAGAATAGTTGCATCCACTTCAAATACAAGTGGAATGCAATCACAATCCTTAAAGCGAAATCGGCTTGAGACTCCCATAAATCGTGTGACTTGTGTGGCCACCCCCACTTTTTTTTAGTCCTTCCCCTTCTCTCTTCCCCCTGTGAAAACACTGCTCCTCCGTGCACCTCACTTACGCTTGCTCCTTCTCTCCCAATTATTCCTTCCCCTCTCACCACATTCTCATCCCCCGACATCTTGACCTGATCAGTCCTCCTCCCCTTCCTGCCCGGTGGTCCTTATTTTTTCCTGTTCCACATTCCGAGTCGCGTTTTGCGGACATGCGTCCCAACATCTCCCTTCCCGACACGGCCAATAAGCAAAAAAAAAGTGTCACGTTGACAAAAGACATATAGTTCACTACTTTAGCCTACCGGTGTGGTGAAGAGTGAAACCACAACATTTACAATTTTTTAGTACGACGTTTCGCTGGTTATTGCATCCAGCATCATCGGGCAATTCGCCAGAATGCCCGATGCAATTACCAGCGAAATGTCGTACTCAAAAATTGTAAATGTTGTGGTTTCACTCTTCAACACACCGGTGGACTAAAGTAGTGAACTATTTGTCTTTTATCAACGTGACACTTTTTTTGCTGATTGGCCATGTCGGGTGGTGGAGGGTTACGACACATTTATAAATAACGCGATTTAACCAAAAAACTTTATTATTAATAATATTGGTCGCGAAAGCCTACGTGTTAAATCTCCCTTCCCTTTGCCGTTCCTCTTTCTTTTTTCCCTACACGAGTAAAAACTTTCCGAATAATATATAACCTCGCCGATTTTTTGCTTTATTTTTTTACACAGCCCTCTTGGATGATCTCGACAAGGAGCTGAACAATTACGTCATGCGCTGCCGGGAGTGGTACGGCTGGCACTTCCCCGAGCTGGGAAAGGTGGTCACCGACAACCTGGCTTACTGCAAGACGATCAAGAAGATGGGTACGTCTGCTCTTACCAACGCCAAGAAGCAAAACTAGCTCTGCCCTTGCCACCATGGCTGAGCTGCGATGAGCTTCTGCATAAATACACTGTTACGAGTGTTAGAATGGCACCTCTGCTATGACCATGCCGGCCGATGATGATGCTCATACGATAACCTGATGAATTCTGAAGGTTTATCAGTCACTACCTCAACTGAGGCCTGCTTCACTACCATCGTTAGTCATTGTATATCTGTTGCTATCAAACCCCTGCTATCGTCAATCTCACTCCTGCCCATATCCAGTGTAGCTCTTCAGGCCTTGAGCCTTGACCTGCTGCGCCATGCCCATTGGAAAAAAGGAGGCTGCATACTATAGGGGAAAAGTGTCATTATAAAAAAATATAATATTAATATCTATATTAGTTAACTATCATAACCACGCAGATATGTTTAGAGTGCAAGCAATTAAGTAACAACAAATGTGTCTTTGTGTGAGGCACCCTGTTCGCGTTTGCATTCGGTCCCTAGGAGCACGGTTCGTTTCGCTGTCACGTGCGTGTAGGGTATTACATTCTGGTGTGTTTGCCGGTGCAGGTTTCCGAACGAACGCAGCCACCACAGACCTGTCGGACATCGTGCCCGAGGAGGTTGAAGCCGATGTCAAAGCTGCGGCGGAGATCTCCATGGGCACCGAGGTGTCGGACGAGGACATCACAAACATCACCTTCCTCTCTGAACAGGTCCGAGGAACCCTGCTGTGTTTTTAGTCTTCTTCACAATTGCATCGGTGTTTTGTAGAATGTCGCCACCGGTTCACGATCTAGCCACTGATGGATAAATGCCAGGCCTCCCCAGGCCATAGCCCATATCTCTTGGTCGTGCACTCCGATAATCCATCTAGCTCTTGCACACCAACCGATTTCATTGGTGGACAATCTGTTCAACGTGTTGCCCACCTTTTTTTTGAGTTAATAGAATACGTTTGCGGGCTGCACATACATACGTCATGGACAGCATGCTAACGTGCACTAGGAAAGCAACTCGGTTGTTGTTGGCGTGTAAATCTGGAAATACTTTCACTTATGCGTATGTTGTGTTAAAGTTACCACTATTGAGGGAGTACTCTCCAATAAGGATTTGTGTACGCGTCGCTGCTTTTGTAAACGATTAAAAATCGCCATAACTCAATACGAGTATTTAAGATGTCTTCAGGGAATCTAATCGGCAAAGAGGTTGATTTGCTTTTCAGACTCAAACCTTTGCCGCTAACTTGTTAGAGGATGGACCTTGGTTTGTTTCGCCTAGTTCGAAACAAACATGACAAAATCTTAGCTAAAATCTATCCTCGCGTTTGCTTCGTTGTGGTACGTGCGCCTTTCAGGTGATTGAGATCACAGAGTACCGAGCCCAGCTGTACGACTACCTGAAGAACCGCATGATGGCAATCGCTCCCAACCTCACCATCATGGTGGGAGAGCTGGTGGGAGCTCGTCTCATCGCCCACGCAGGTGATTCCCCGCCGCTTGGCCTTGTGAAGCCAGCTTCTCATTTCAAATAGCCAGCGGCAAACCGCACGTCTACGACAAGAGGGCCCAATGCTGGCATGGCTCGCATCTGCCAGTGGAAAATTGGCACTGGCGTCACTTCGTGGAACATTGCTTTTTGATATCGTTCGTGTTCGGGGCACATTTGCCGTCTCTGTGAATTCCGTCCGCTCATTCGCTCTGTTTGTGCCATCGTTTAAAAGGCTCCCTGCTGAACTTGGCAAAGCACCCGGCTTCTACGGTACAGATCTTGGGGGCAGAGAAGGCTCTCTTCAGGGCCCTCAAGACCCAGCACGACACTCCCAAGTACGGCCTCATCTACCACGCCTCGCTGGTGGGACAGACGACACCAAAGAACAAAGGAAAGGTGAGTACACTGCGGTAGTGTTTTAAAGGCTGTTGCAAAGCATCATCGTTGGCCATGATCCATTAAACTGCTGTGTGGAGGCTTCCTAAAGCCGTTGCCATCGTTTGGTTCTGCATTGTGTAATAATCTACCTGGCACTTAAATTGAGCCTACCCTTGTAAAATATAAGGAACATAAATATTATTTTTGTGCAGTTGAGAGGAAATTTACGTTGTAATTTTTAAAGTGTTTTTTTATGTTTAATGCTTGCACGACCAATTGATTGCCCATGAACTCCTCTATTATTTCCCCCACGTACTGGGAATTGCTTAAGTAATCTGGTCAAGTGCAGGCATTTCTAGCGAATGCATATTCGTCATTTATTACAGCTGCATTCAATTGTCATGGGCATCCGAGGACGATTTGGTAATTATAAAAGCCAAAGGTGTAGCCCGGCAAGTGCTTGCTCACGCCAATGCTCCACTAGTGGGAGCTCTAGAAAGCCTCTCTAAAACATATTGGCCTACTGTTTCGAAACTGGCCCAGACAGCTTGGAAGAGTTGGGAATTGTATTTGCTTTCCAAACCACGAGTGCTTTGTTTTTTTTACGTGACAGATCTCGCGAATGCTTGCAGCAAAGTCCGCTCTGGCGATCCGCTACGATGCGCTTGGGGAGGATACGACGTCCGAGATGGGCCTTGAAAACCGGACCAAGCTGGAGGCTAGGCTCCGGGAGCTGGAAGACAAGGGGGTAAGAAATGCTGCTGCACCTGCCCGAGTGTGTATGTGGGGTCTTATTTAACCTTCGTACAAAATGTGAATATAAAACGGTTACTGCGTGGGGCGCACACTGCGCAACTCATTCAACGTGTTTTCAGGGTTACCGCGTGCGTCCTTCGACATGTCCCCCGTTTCACTCCCCGTGACGGGACCGTTTTGCAGCTTCCTCAGGAACGCAATTAAGTTGCTTAGGAAAACTCCTTTAAAAAAGTTTTTTAAAATCAACGGTTTTATTAACAACTTACGTTTAGCTCACGGTCGGAGAAGGTACGTCATTGGTGCCTGAGACACACGGCGCCTGCGTTTTGTGCGAGCCGATTCCACAGTTTAGGGACCACTGCGTTTTTGACTTACACAAAAATATATACAAATAATAAGGCGTCCATACAAAAATGTTAATTGCTTTAAAGTAGCGAAGTAATTGATGAATTGATGCCGATTTTCATACAGGCATGCATTGTCACCGGATCTGAGTACGTGTGCAAAATGTGGAATTGATTGATTGATCACAAGATTTGACCACTACAAACACAAGTGACGTTAAATAAAACCGTTGAAAAAGACTCCCCCAGCATGTTTGGACATTGTGCTGAACAGTGTTGTTGTTATTCTTGGTTCTTTCGGTAAAGTCACGTAGAAGGGAAATAATAAAATACAAATATAAAACAATAAAAATGCTCACGACGTTTTGACTGCAACACAAGCAATCATCAGGTGTGAAATCCACAGCTGTGGATTTCACACCTGAGAATTTTTATTGTTTTATATTTGTGTTTTATTATTTCCCTTCTACGTGACTTTACCGAAAGAACCAAGAATATGAATCCCTGCAGTCACGAAAGCTTTAAATCAAAAAATTCAGTGTTGTTAAATCCTGAGAGCTTGTCACTACAGTTGAGAACCTCGCTTGCTACAATGCCTTGCCACTTACATAGCCATCTTAAGACTTTTTGTTTTATCCTATCTGATTCATTTTCAGATTCAGCGAATCAGCGGCACGGGCAAAGCGTTGCCCAAGTTTGAAAAGTACCAGCACAAGAGGTGAGTTAGGTGTACATCATCATTATTATTAGCCATGGTCAATCCGCTGCTGGACAAAGGCCTTGTTGTTAAGCTTTTGTCACATCTCCAGAATTGCAAAAACACAAACCAATCCTTTTTACTGCCTGACTGTGAACACGTAGCAGGACCCCGCTCCCTGAAAATCGCTCTTTGAGACTCCGTGAGGCTTTTACAACTTATGTGAATATAAAGTTGTGCTTTTGCCTATGTGTTGCTTTTTTATATGCGGCCCGCTGATGATACTTGTATGATAACCTGATTAATAATGAGGGTTTTATCAGTCACTACCTCTTCTGAGGGCCTTGCTTTACAAAATAAAAACGGCAAGAGCACAAAAAACAATTAATTGTCCTCCAGAATATTTGACGATGCGTACGCGCGTGTAAAGGTTATTGATTTTTTTAGGTGTGCGGTTTTTTTAGAGTAAGTTTGACCTTTTTCACACGCGGTTTGTCTCGGTTCGATCACAAGCTGGTTTGGACGGGGTTTGTCTTGTTTCCCTCCCCCCTCCCTCTCTCCCCAGCATGGTGAGGACATACGACCCGTCCGGTGACTCAACGCTCCCGTCGGTGTCGAGGAAGCGCAAGATCGAGGAGGTGGAGGACGTTGACGACATGCAGCAGCAACAACCAAAAAAGATAAAGAAGGAGAAAAAGGACAAGGCTTCCGAGGCAGAAGGTGGGGAGGGGGGAGGATCGAGGGAGACATGCTTGTGTTCGGAATGCTCTCGAAGCGAGGTTAAACGTATCGCGCACGCATACGGATTCTCTCCGTTGCTTTTACAACACGTGTCCCAGCAGTGTTCTTCAGAGTAATGATCAATAATTGAACTGCATTTCAAGCCTCGCTGTGAGATGACGCAGTTTTTTTCTAAATCCTTTTTAGCGCTGGTTTTCATCTTTGAGGCTTTTGGTAACCCTCCTTTGATCGATTTGGCCCTTTTTATAGGGCAAGTCCCGAATAGCAACACAACTTAAGATTAAAGGATTTGTTCGTAAAGTATAATCTTTACGAGAGTTGACGTGCCACTTGCTATAGACGGGCCCTCGTGCACTGACATTTTCAACCCTCATTTTTGCATCGGTGATGTGAGATTCACGATTTGTTTTTTGTCTTGCGCTTTTCAACCCTCGGGGCTCACAAAAGCTTCCACCCCATCGTCGTCAAAAAAGAAACGCGCGGCCGCCGAGTCTGAGAGCGACGAGGACGTTGCAGACAAAACGCCGAAGAAGAAAGAAAAGTCCCTGGAGGTGGAAGGTAGGCATTGAAAGGAGCTAGCTGCTCTATTTGCATATATTTCCATAGCATACGCCGTTTTTTTGCATGGGCAATGCGGTTGCGTTTTGCCGCTTTATGTATTCCCTGCTGAAACCGGTTTGCTCCTGCCCCCCCCCCTCCTCCGGTCGCTAAAAATGCAAATATTGCTGTTGTTACCTCGCCCTTTGAACAGACTTTTTTCGTGGCGTCCGTAAAGCGTGCAACGCAGGTCATTGCGCGTGACTAATTCCACTTTGTCTAATTGCCGTGTGCCCCTCTCTCGTCAAATCTAAAGAGACGGAGACTCCAAGCAAGAAAAAGAAATCTAAGAAGGAAAAGCATCAAGAGCAGGACGAGGAAGAGCTTCCCAGCGTGTCCCCTGCGCAGGTGAAGCCGTTTGCAAAACTTTGGAGGCTACTCGCAGCCCCGCGCGCGCACGCCCTTTGGACATTACTGGTCCACCCCCTCCGTCTAACCAGCCAGCAAAACTTTTTTTATAATACAGATAGTCCCCGAGTTACGATGGTCCGACTTACGATATTTCGATCTTGCGATGGCGATAGCGATACGACAAAATTGTAAAATGTTTTAAATTTCGCGCGGCAGGCAAACGCAGCAGCGTGCGAGGTACGAGATGTACGCATGTTAAAAGTTTTTTTTTATAGCAGATAGGATTGTTTCCTGAAAAAACTTTCTATTAAATTGCAGTTCATATAGGTAAGCTAAGAATTTACCTTGTTTTTTTACATTTTACTGTGCAATACAGTATTGTAATTAATAAATACATACAGTCTATAGTTTATACGGTACGGTACTCTAAATTGCTCTGTCTTGCTAAATTATCACCATTCTTTAAGACTCCTAGGTAGGCTTGGCCATCTTCGACTTACGATATTTTTGACTTACGATGGGGTCGTCGTAACGCATCTCCATCGAAAGTAGAGGACTACCTGTACAGTCCCCACTCCTGCGTGCCTCCCTTTTGCACGTGAGGGAGGGGGGGATGGCCCCCCTCCCTCCCTCACGTGCGGGGGGTAGCCCCCCCTCAACTGACTGAAGTGGGGGTGGGGGGGTAGACGTTCAACCTTCTACCGCTTGTGGATAGAGCCACTTGCCCCTGCGTGAATAGTCGTGTTTCTGATCGAGTCTGTTGTAACTCACTGGTTGTCTTTATTGTCTGCGTGCAGCCCTCTTCGGAGAAGAAGAAGAAAAAGAAGAAATCCAAGCAGGAAGACGATTAGACAAACAGGAATGTATGAAAGAGTCGCTGTATCACGAGCGTACAGTGGGCCTTGAAGGTTAATACCTTTTTTATACGCAACATTTCGGTGTGAGTCGTAAGCGATCGCTCAATGAGTTTGATCTGCCGGTGGGCAGGTGCTGCAGTTGCTTGAAGTATGAGTTGACATGTGGCAGAATGTATAAACCGTCCGTGGAAAATAAAAAAAATGTACTTCTATTTGAGTTTGTGTTATATCATTTATAAATGAATATTTCGTTATAGATATTGTAATAGTTTTTTTCAGTTGCCATAGACAATGATTAGAGAGGGTTCACACAGTAAAAAGATTTATTTTCACAAGAAAAACGGAAAAAAAGTTCCAAGTAAAATGCAAATGCACGGTTGGTATCTGTTTTTTAACATACGGTAGTGTAATACAATATGCCTTGCGATGCAACAATTTTGGACGTTAAAATTTTATACATTGATGTTTTTTTAAACATTAAAGTGTTATCATGGCTAAACTGTCAAATGGCGAACAGCAGTCCTCACGTCCTGTCTTCCTCCGTGCTGTTGGTCGTGTTCACGATGAGAAACCTCAGTGGTGGCTGTTCCTTTCCTGGCAAGGGACAGGATCAATCACTCCTAAGTGAGTGTACTTCACCTTATAACAAACAAATGCATACAAGTCTTCTCATACACTTTCGACTGAAACTTTCATTTTAAACCACCTTGCAAACGAATTTGTGCAACAGTTGCCTAGTTTTCTTTTCGTATAGTTTTACATTAGACAGTCCGTATGTTTCGTCCTTTGTCCAACCAATGTAGTGGCGAGCCGTGGGGTGGGAGGGTACAAAATGTTCCCATGGGAGAACAAGAATTCGGGAGAGGTTATACTGCTCAAGTTCTCACGGTTCTGCCGTATAGCTCCGATGTGTTCTCAGGTTGTGCTGTGTGTTCGGCATCGTGTGATGTTTCACTGCACAAGCTTCAGAAACTGACTGGAGCACACGTTTGACCCTCTGTTACGTATGTATGTTGAACTTCCTTCGCACTGTACGTAGCCAATGGTGCCGATCGGAGGTGGGGGGGGGGGGAGGACAAACTAAACGGTTATAAACAAGTATTTTAAAATCTGGATTTAAAAGTGCAGTGCTTTCCTAATATCGTGAATGATGAAGATGGTGAGAGTGGAGGATTGGGTAGAAAAGTGGATGAGGTACGGCTTCATCAAAGGCTCGCGCGACTTTGAGAGGACCGCTCACCCCGAAATCTTTGCCACCCCTCTCCGCCCACCTCCATCCGCTCACCTCGTTAAGAGTTGCGGGCTTGCTGGTGTTCGGTAGGTTTGTTAATAGTGTGGCATTCTCTTGTGTGTGCATGTTCATCGCCTGCACGCAAGCGGTGAAACTGGACACGGCTCGCTCTCATGACCTTCCCTGCCCTTAGAGTGTCCACCGCACTTTGAACATTATGCTGAACACACCGCTGAGTAACACGTAGGTGGAAAAATCTTGCCGAAAGTTCGTGCGGGTGTGCGTTCGGAGTTGAGCGGTTTAGGAGGAGCTGGGGGGGATGCGATGGTCTTCTTTCGTACGACTGCTGTCGACGGCAGAGCAACAACTACAATCTCGCGTTCAGGTGGTCAAGCCAGATGACTGCGTCAGGAGCAGCGAGCGGAGTGTATCTTCTGTGATGTCTCTATAATACTGGTAGGAACGAAGTGAACCAGCCTACAATAGATTATATCGTCCGTCCGATGTCTGATTAGGTGTAGCAACATCGCCCCCTACTGGAAACACTTGGCATGACCCTACAAAAACCTTTAGACTCAGTGAGGCTTTCCTGGCTAAACAAGTGTAACATTCCCTTATAATTCCCTGAGATAGCTTTTAATTAAAACATTTAAATTAAAAATTAACTCGCAGCGGCCTAAAGCCTACAGCTAGGCCTAAAGCCTAGAACTAGGCCTCAAACTCTCCCTTCGTATCGTACCCCCGCGTGTGTGAAAGGGAGTTAATGTTTAACAATGTTACATTCCCTGATGTTTTTAAATAGAAACATTTAAATTTAAAGCTTTTACATTAATAATTAAAACATTTAAATAAAAAATTAACTCACAGCGGCCTAAAGCCTACAGCTAGGCCTAAAGCCTAGAACTAGGCCTCAAACTCTCCCTTTGTATCGTCCGATTAGGTGTAGCAACATCGCCCCCTTCTGCAAACACTTGGCAGGACCCTACAAAAACCTTTAGACTCAGTGAGGCTTTCCTGGCTAAACAAGTGTAATAATACATTATGTTTATATTCTTTGGTTATTCGTTCGTACCAGCCCACCCCGCAGGGACCTGTTATTTGTGGATCGGGGCTTTGCAGCGTTATGTACGTACGGTCTGATCTGGATGACCACAGTCGCACACTACTGGAGTTTTTTTTATGTTCCATTTGTGCATCAGGTATTCCCTTTTTTTTATCCGCCATGGTTTGTGCAGTGGATGCGGTTCAGGGTGAACCATGAAGCACCTTCGTTGCCGATTGCTCACCGAGGGCTGCCATGAGGCCTAGCAGCGCCGCGAACACGAGAGTGCCCATCAGGAGGCCCATGAGCAGCGACTGGCACTTGCGTCTGCGCGTCGGCTCGCTGTCGCCCGCGTGGCCGATGTACGCCCGGCAGTCGGGGAAGCAGCCCCCGCACACGCAGTACGAGCTGCCCAGTCCTGGAAAACGCGCTTGGGAGGATTGGTACATGTTGTGCTCGTGGTGCGGATAATTCCATGGGTTGCCGTGTTTTTTTTCTGTTCCCCAGATTGATGCACTTTTTTTTTTATCACCCCCTTGTATTTTGAGAAAAACAAGTCTGGGTGTATTATTTATAGTCCAGTGTGTGGTGTAATTTGTATAAGTTTATTGACACCAGGCATGATGTTTTAGTTTTCACCTTGAGCGTCTTTCCAGAGAATATGCTCATGTTGACTTTTAAGCTCTGGGTTTAATTGCAATTGTTCATGCTAAATTATGATGGTGGCAGGTAAATTTAATGGTAATACAGTTGGTGAAGAGGAATATTGGGAGTATCTAGATTACAGAAAATAACGCATGCAGCTGTTCAAAAGGCACGCTGCCTTGGGCCTATAAAAACTAAAGGGCCGATTATTTTTTGGTATGATAAAGGTTTCTTCAATATATTTATATTGCAAGAATAAGCACAGTTTATATACAGAGGCATGGCAATTTTTTTTTTTCACAAGGTGAGAAATTAACAATGGAGATGAACTTTTCGAGATTGTCTTCAGTGCAAAATTAGCGAATAACATCTGCAAACGGTGTTTTTCGCACAATCGAGTGAGTGACAGTGGTGGTAGTAGTAACATGCGGCAGCAGCAGTACCAACTTTCAAGAGTCATCACTGAAGGCCTACAAAACACAAGTTCCTAGGGCCTACAAGAACCTTAATCCGGCCCTGTGGCAAGAAACGGACAATTAAAGACGAGTCGTTTGGGATGGTGTGTGCTTGTGGTCTCATGAGTTGACCCAGAAATGAGAGCAGCACCCGCCAGAGGAGATGGAACGAGATGCAGAGCGGCTGGATAGACCATGGAAGAAGGACGTGGAGCAGGACAGGTTAAACATGAGCGGTGCGAATTATTGGTGCCAAGCGGATAAGTGCTGGGACTTCATTTGACCCCCCATCGGAGCAGAAGCTGATGAAGGAGATGGAAAAGAATAAAAATACTGAGCTCAATGTTATATTGGTAATTTCAAAGCGCTGGTTAACTATAAACTAAACTCTATTTTACCAGGTAAGGCCCACTGAGCTACATAGCTCTTTTTCAGAAGCGACCTGGCCACATGACAGCGCAACGAAGTCGCTAATCGCGTGGAAATGCAAAGCAGCCAAACGCTCTCCGAAACGCACGTTGATTCTGAATGTGGAAGGCAAAAACTGGAGGACCCGGAGAAAAATCCACGCGACCACGGATAACGCAGACTCCAAATATCCAGCAGCTTACGCTGGTAACCATGTGTGCTCTCTTTTTTTCGATGCAATAAACGGTTATTTCGAACCGAGCCTAATGGGAAAGTCGCAGAAAAGCAACATCGTGGAACGTTTATTGAATCTGATGGTCGTACCGTAGCACACGCTGCGCTGGCTTGCCGATCGGGAGACGGCTGGCGGTAGTTTATCCGCAGGCTTCTCTTTCTTGGTTGGCTGTGGACAGTGAAACTTGAACAACAGCAACAACAAAAAACTTTGCGTGTTGGTGATGTCTCATTTTCCTCGCCAAATCCAATCGTGTGATGGATTAAAACACATTTTCTAGATTTGAAGCTTTCGTGACTGCAAGGATTCATACTCTGGTTTTTTCGGTAAAGTCACGTAGGTTAAAGATGAAAACAAATAAATGAAATCACGACGTTTCGGAGGCAACACAAGCTTCCGTCTTCAGGTGTATCACCTTGATACAGCAAAATTTCTGTATCACTTTGATATAGCATAATTGCTGTATCACCTTGATACAGAAAAATTGCTGTATCACCTTGATACAGCAATTTTGCTGTGACGGTTTCACCTCAAGACGGAAGCTTGTGTTGCCTCCGAAACGTCGTGATTTCATTTATTTGTTTTCTTTTTTAACCTACGTGACTTTACCGAAAAAACCAACGAGTATAAAACAAAAAAGTCTGCTTTTGCAGATCTGGCTCTGGAAGAATGGTTATGCAGCTTTAGCATAAATATAACGTTATTCAACTTTTACCTGCTCTATATTATCAACTTCAACTGTATAATTATACACATGTCCGAAGACCAGATTGCCCAAAAAATGTGCTCAGTCTCATCAGAACTTAGAAGCTCAGCCAGGGTTATGCTCGGATGGGCGACCACCATGCATACCAGGTGTGATAGGCTGCTGCGGTGCTATGTGATGGTCAGCAAAACCCATCCTTACAAACCTTTGCACTTGCACATCTTTGCTTGCTACCCCTCACCAACATGCACTGACCAGCACGGAGGTTTTACGGTCAAATAACTCCCGTGACCTCCACGGTGTGGAGAGGTTCTCGTCCAGCAGTGGATGAGGAATATTCCTTTACATGTGCGTATTGTAACATCCCCAGCGTTTAACGGTACTCTCTTTATTGTCAGCCAACACTGCTATAAACATGGGCATTTTCGTTCTTTTCTATCATGTGCATCAATAGGTGCTTGTGCACAGGCATGTCCACGTACACGTGCAC